GGGGTGCTCTTATGTTGTTTGCTTCTTCTTTCCTGTCAAATATCTATCGTCTCTCTCTCCCCTCCTCCTTTTTATGTTTGTTACTCTCTTGTAACACCTCTAATCTTCTGGCGCTCATGACCTTATGCCGTTGCGAGCGCCGTAAAACCTCTACTAAAATAAACAAAAGACCTTCACCGCTCAACCTGTCTCCCACTTCTGTGGCAAGTAAATACATACGACATCAGATTATGTTTGAGTGTTTCTCACCGCCACTTATGTAGCGCTGTGTCGATCGCTGACTCGGCCGGTCTGACTGCGACATCTAAATCGGCTTTCTTAACGGTTATGGTCGGAGACTTCTTAACCCCACCCCCACCCCCCTTCTGTGCTTAATGTATATTCTCCCGTACTCGTTCACTTTTACTCTTTCTCTTTTCTTTCATTCTCTCTCTTTCACTCTCACACTTTACCCCCCCCTCTCTCTCCCTCTCTCTCTCTCTCTCTCTCTCTCTCTCTCTCTCTCTCTTTCTCCCACTCCCACCCCCTACCCCAATCTTCCCCTTCCCTCTCCCAGAATCAATAGAGAAGAGAAGTAAGCAGCGTTACCTGTAACCATGATGTTGAGTCCACCGTGCTTGTTCACAGAGATGGCCTGACCGTCCACTGAAATGGCCTGGCCGTCCAGGATGATCTGCTGCTCGGGTCCCAGGTTGGCCGGGATCTGGATGGTGGCCTGGCTGGTGCCTCCGCTGGAGGTGGGGATGGCCAACACTTGCTCGATCATCATCACATTGCAGGTCGCCTGGTGCTCCTGGACATCAGCAAAAACATCACACACAATATTAGTCATCATCATTGCCTTTCTCACCCTGGATCAGGATATAGGCCACGAACAAACATTTTAAAGCATGCTCGTTTGTGTTTCTTTAATTTTCCGTTTTTATTGGGTTGGGCAGTTGGCCCTCCGCAAATTGGCACTTTCGGGAGACCAGACTGAAGTATCTTTAGTCGCCTCTTATGACACGCAGTATCACAGCAAGCGTATTTTTTGCTCCCCCGTAGTAAAACTATGGGGCCCCCCACCTGAAGGGGCGGCAATATTTGTACAAGACATTAACTCCTGATCTCTGGCAAGCCAGGACTGCTGTGCAGTGTCAGCATCTCTGTCAAATCCCTTTATGGCAATGACAATAGGGTCTATATACATTTTCGACACTCGCAAAAAGTAGGTCTCCCTTGCCATGTGTTCTTTCCTTTGATGGAGAACTATCAAAAATGGTTCATTTCCTTTGATTCAATAACCGATTTAGTGGCGTGTATGTCGCTCTCAGGTTTCGTTCTGAAATAGGATGCTGTCATAGTGTGCGTGGGAGGACCCTCCAGAGATAAAGAGTTATAGCAGCTCTACAGTTTAGTCGCTTCTTTTTTTCCCATGATGAAAAAGAGGAATAAAAGGTGATTATACAGAAAAAATTCTGGTTGCCATAGGAATGGAGACCTGCTTGGAAAATAAGAGCAAAAATAATGGGTACCAGGTTGGGTTTTTTTGGTAATCATTTCAAATGCAAAATGACCAACTTAATTTTTTCACAAGCAATGATGCATCATTTGAATATAAAGAAAAGTTTCTGTCACAATCAGAATGAAACCAAGGCCTGTTGAAAGTGAATTCTTTATTTAGTCGTTCATAGTAATAAACTTTTTCGCATTCATTGGTTGACCAGGCATAGGACATCATTGTTTGTTGAGGCTGAGTTTATCAATGCCACAGTCAATATATACAGTCACATACAACTCAAATCACATCAGGGACTGACAAATGTGTTTGCCATATCCATAATTCGGGTTTGCCGATAATGAAGATTTAAAGAGATATCAGTCAGGGCATGGCAAATGGTACGCTCTATTCGAGACTTTGAGCTCTCCTAGTTCATGTTTTGTGTGCCCAGTTGTACTTATGTGCAAACACCTAATAAACAAATAACGACCAAATTTCTTCCATGATGCCTCAACATCGCTTGTTGTATAAATATAACAACATAAAGGCGACACTCTCTATCAGATTCACAAGTATTACCTTTAGGGCGTACTCCGAGCGGAAGTGCTTGTTGCATTTATCACAGATAAGCATCTTGATGTCCTGATGTTTGCGTTCAATGTGTTTTCTGATGTCCGTGAAGGTGTAGCCGAAAAAATCACACACACCACACTTGTAGTCCCGCTGACCATAATGCCTGAAACAGAGAGAAAAAGAGTTTTTAAAAAAGCTCATTGGTTGAAATAATTAAATTTTTAAAATGATAACAATAATGGAGCTTAAAAGGAAATAAAAGCCCAACACTAGGCAAAGAGACCCAAAACTCTAAAGGAGCCTAGAGGACCTGTAGCGAACAGCAGCCTTTGCACTTGAGACTGGGATATCCATAAAATAAACGAGAAGAAGAAGTTATGTAGCATAACAATATCCCAGCTTGAAAGTAGGCTATGGGCATTTAGCAATTTATTATTAATCTATCAGACCCTATAAATAACATTTCAAAACATTCTCAACTTCCTGGGAAGCTTTCAATCCAAGAGACCATTTTATAGAGGATAAAACATTGAGGGTAAAAAAAACCCAACCTCATTTAAAAATCATCAGTAGTGACCTCCTCCCCTCCCATGGGGATACATTTTTTTTAATGGGTTGTTAACTCACTGAAGACTGGGCCTTTTTCGGGTCTACAAGCGCTGAAGATTAGCATTTTTGGGGGGTATTTCAACATTTCAAACAACACCCTTCCCAAAAACATACAACCATCATTTTTACACACATGCCCAATACGACACAAAAAAACAGAAAGGCAATATCTCTTATAGTTCTTTAGAAAAGATTTTTTGAAAATGTGCTCAAATTTGTTGCTCGCCAATATTTTTTGACGTAATGTCTCGTGTAAAAAAAAACCAACAAAACCCCACAAAAATTAACCTTGTGTGTCTTTTTTATTGTGTTTTGTGTTTCAAAATGAATAAAAAATCCAAACTCATGCATTGGAAGGTAATCAATATGGTAATGCTTATGTATTAGCTGTCTAATTCACTTCGGTGTGAAAAAAACAGGTCTCGAGACAAAGCGGAATTTTGTATTTGAAAGCCTAGTCTAGATCTAGAACACTCTCTATCAGAATCAGTGCTTTGATGCTCATTTACATTGAAATCAGGATCACCATGGTCTAAAATATCATAATCAGAATTTTCTGAACTGTCAAAGTCGTCAAACACTTGAAAAATGTTTGCTTTTTCGTGCAGTCAAGTGGGTGGTTTGCTCTGGTGTGGTTTGCTCCTTCTTTCCTATCAAACAACTCTCATACTGATCTCTCCTCCTCCTTTTTTTGTGTTTGTTACTCTCTTGTAACACCTAATCTTCGGCACTTATATAATCTTATTGTGTTGCACATGCCATAAAAACTCTTACTTAACCTAAACGTGTTGCCATCGTACTGACAAAGTGTTGCCAGAACATATGTCAGAGAAACGAAAGAAGGGCCTCAGTGTGACTAGCTTTCCTTTCGGGTCAATAACTCAAAAAGTTTCCAGCCAATTCTGGTGGAACTTCGCACGACACGAAACAAAGGTCGGCTGTACAGTAAGAGATGGTTCATGCATCGTTTGCATGCATACTTTGCCGAGGAAAAAACCCGACACTTGTGCAAGCAGGGGGGGGGCGAGAACCGCCTCTCAGGGAAATATTGGTGCTAGCAAAATCTGCATGAAACCTCTCCAGTGAGTTAATATGATGGATTGTTCAAATCAATCCAAAGCAGCCATGAAAATCCATTCCTCAGTCTTTAAAGCTGAAATATATGAATTCCAACTCTTCCATGCTAATATCTTTTATATCCATCCTCCTCCTTCACCCCCTTCCCAATCCCCTTCCAACATAGCCACCTACCCCAATCCATCTTTCTCCTCCCTTGTAAAAAAAAGACTATTTCTCATACTGGACACATCCAGTCCAAAATCTATGAAAAGAAAAACAAAGAAATGCCCCCTGGATTATTTCAGAGATGACTGCACTCTTTAACCAAACAGCCACAAATACATTACTGACAAAAGAACACTTTAGCAGAGGCAGTGCCAGTCATTAGGCAGGACAATTCAGAAGGCTGAGACCTCGGCCAAGTCAATCAATAAACATGACTTTTCCTCATTCTATTACACGCCAGTGGCCTGAGGGTGCCACTGGTATAGTACCTCCTTAACTTCTTTGTTATCCCTTCCTATTAAAATTTCTGTCTGTCTCTCTTGCTTTTTCTGATCACAAATTGCGTCTTATTGCCTCTACATCCTTCTCTTTACTTTAAAGAAAAACCAAACCCCCCCCCCCCCCCCCCCCAAAAAAAAAACAGACTCAATCCAAGTGCAAACTGGACCCCGCTAGTCGCCGAACTCACCTCTTGACATGCAGCTCTTTATTCTTGATATGCCTGAAGGTCTTGCCACACCTTTCGCAGGCATGCTTGGGCTCCTCGTGGATCAGCATGTGTTTGGAAATATCCGACCTCTCACATCCCCTGGAATGTATGGATGGAAAATATTTCACACTCTCATTGACAAATGTTCCTTTTATTTCAATATTCAAAGGTGGATTCCTTTGACGGTGCTAGCCACCAAAGCCAACCAGGGCCCACTGAGACACAACATCTGTGCAGAAAGACAAAGATGCTCCCTAATATACAGACTTCCCGACAGGCGGACCTTTTTTTAAAAAAGTTTTAGTGTTAGTAAGAGAATTACGGCACTTGAAACACAATTGGATCATACAAGTGCCAAAGATTAGAGGTGTCACAAGAGAGTATCAAACCAAAAAAAAAAGAAAGAGAGGAGAGATAAAGAAGACAGATGTTTGATAGGAAAGAAGGAGCAAACTGCACCAGTACACCTGCCAACTACACAAAAACCAGGATCAAACTCATGCTCTTTGAGCACAACACCGAAGTCCCTAACCATTCAAGTTGAGACATCAGTCTCACAGCCCCTTGGACACAAACAAAAAACAGGCTCTCAAACAAAAGATCATCCTAGTAGGCACTATCAGTTGAGGGAAAAGGGGATCATTGTCTTTCTCTTTCCTAGTACTAAACGACCTTTACTGGGGCGCTTCTCTTTATTCAAATGCAAATAACAACAACAAAAAAGCAGACATACTGACCTGTAATCACAGATCAGGCACTTGAAAGGTTTCTCTGGGTCGTGGATCCTCAGATGCCGCTTCAGGTGGGCCTTGCGCGTGAACTTCTTAGTGCAGATGTTGCACTCAAACAACACCTCGGCCGGCATGTGCACCATCTTCACATGCATCTTGAGAATGTACATGTCCTGAGGAAAAGTAAGGACATTTTGAGAATGTACATGTCCAGAGGAAAAGTAAGGACATTTTGAGAATGTACATGTCCTGAGGAAAAGTAAGGACATTTTGAGAATGTACATGTCCTGAGGAAAAGTAAGGACATTTTGAGAATGTACATGTCAGGACACTTCCTTAGGAAAAGTGAGAACATTTTCTGGGTGTATATGTCCTGAGGAAAAATTGAGGACATTTTGTGGGTGTACATATCGTGAGGAAAAGTGAGGATATTCTGGGGATGGATGTACATATCCTGAGGAAAAGTGATGAGGAAAAGTGAGGAAATTAATCAAATTTTTGGATGTATCCTGAGGAAAAGTGAGGATATTTTGTGCATGTATCCTGAGGAAAAGTGAGGAGGAAAAGCGAAGATATTCTGTGGATGTACATATCCTGAGGAAAAGTGAGGACATTTTGAGGATGTAAATGTCCCAGGGAAACAGGCAGGACATTTTATACATGTCCTGGAGAAAAGTGAAGACCCATCAAAACCAGTTCATGTAGAAGAGAGGACATGAGCAAGTTATACGTCATAGAGCTAAAACTGTTCCCAAAACTAACAGCATCGATTTCCAGGTGAAATCAATTTTTCTGGTAATATTAAGAGTTGCTATACAAGAAAAGGAGCATGGAACTGTTTTCTAAAAGTTTCTCAGAGGTCAGCCTTTGTGCAGAGCAAAATACCACTCTACATAAAACAGTTATGTCAGCCGTAGGCCTCGAATCTTTAATGTTGAGTTGTAGCTATTTTTGTTTTGGTGCCACTTGGTGCCACACAAGAACATGTTCACTCAATCATTAGGTAACTGGTCACAATCACAATAAAGTCCATGACCATCAAAATAACAGAAAAAAATCACATGATGTATTTTCAATTCAAAAGAAAAAAAAATCACAAAAACACACCTGAATTTAACATTTTGTGGTAAAAATCTTATAATCAGACTACAGCCTGACTTACTGCAAACTCAAAGGAGTTAGTGGTGCCCCCTACCTTGTAGACTTTGCCACAGATATTGCAGGTGCAGCTCTTGGTGTCGTGCCTCATCATATGTCGCTTGATGATATAAGCGTGCTCTGCCATGTAGTCACATTCAGGACATATGCAGCGAGGGTGAAACTCCTGAAGACAGAAGAACAAAAAAAAAACATTCATGATCATTTCGATGCTCAAGAATTACAAAGTTCTATTTGCACAGTAACTAGTTTCAAGAAACTTGACGTAAAAAAACATGTCAAGCTTTTGTTTGTTTTAGTAAGAGTTTTACTGCCCTCGCAACTGCATAAGGTCATATGAGCGGGCAAAAAAAGGTTGGTTCTGTTTGCAAGAGTACACTGCACAGCCTAACTCTGGTCAACACCTCTACTAAAATGCTAAAATGCTAAAAAATTTGATGTAAATAAATTAATTTAAAACAACTGTCAAGCTTTTTCAAATGCAATTCTTTGAATATCCTGATAACGACAGTGAATTATCTTACGATTTTGATAGAGCATTTGGTCTTAATAACTCAAAACGGCCAAAATTGTCAGGTAAAACTTTGTCATTCTAAGGTAGCAATTTATTGAGTTGCTGAATATAATATACAGAGAACAACCATGCAGTACACTCCAACTTTCTTCCAAAAGTATGTAGAGCATAATACAGTTTAATGATGAAAAGAAAAGTTTTCCTTAAATCATATATCAAATTTTCTTGCGCGTGAAATCGCCAGGACCCCAAAGTCAAAGAGTCACCAGTTCTGACCTTGAAGTGGGCTAACAATTCCTCACTGTCCAGTGAGATAAACGAGCAGCACTTGCACTTCTGAATGTCGTCGCCGTGCGTGGCAATGTGGTTGCGGTACTGCTGACTGTAGTAACCCTGGAAGTCACACTTAGGGCATTTGAGCTTCTCTAGCTCCCGCTCCGAGGCTTTCAGACCTACATGAGAAAAACAAATGCCGTGAGCATCAAGTTGACCAACATAAGAGAAACAAATCTGTGTGGTGAGTTGACTTAACTGAGGAAAACCAGGTCATAATTGCAGAAAATAAAGGCCCATTCTCGAAATCCAGAAATAAAATCACAGCAAACTAACAGAACCTTTATTATGTAAAGGGAAATTATTCATAATAATCACAGAGCTAGTTCTACCCATTGTACAAGAATTTTACCTTTAACAAAAAATGTATCGGCATACAATTCAACTTAAGTCTAATGCAAAGGGTAGCAGTGGATTTTCAACCTAAACATCCTTAAAAAATCTATCAAGGCTGAAATGAAAGTGAATAATGAGGAAAAGAAAGCTCACAAGGAAAAATACAATAACACAAAAAGGAAAGATAAAGCAAACATTGGAACAGGTCCACAAATACTCAGAGGAGATGTCTGATCGCTGAAAGTCTGTCACTTCTAGGAACACCCAGCTCTAGGCCACCGTACAGCTCAACATGCATAGAACCGCCATTGCTGTCCCATAATTTTGAAAACTGAAGCACTTGAGTAGCGTTACAGTATACAAAGGACTGGTAAAGTGCACACTTCACTCAAATACATTTCTCATGTCATAATAGTCATATGACAGATTACTTTCTGAAAAATTCACAAAGTACACTGGAGAGCCTACTGCTAGAGCCAGATTTGACTAGGCTTGCCAGACGTTTGGATCCACAGATTTTTCAAGTTTTACATGCTTATTCTATGTGCATGCCTACAACACTTGTGTTGGCATGAACGAAGACCTCTGATTGGTCCCACAAGATTGCTGTGTCTCTGATAGTCACATGTAATGGATAATGTATTAAACGCAATAGGCTTAAACATGAAATAATCATTCATGGTGCGGGCAATTGAAAGTCCCTTGGAATAGCATAGAGACACTTCATTGCAGGACAAAAATATGGTAAGCTGCATAAACGAGGACAATTCGCCCTGGAAGTGACTTCAGCGAGACTGGGTCTGCTCATTTAAAAGTTCAATGAATATTAGTATTAGTTGTTTTAATGGCTTTGATGCATTTTTAAAAAAGGAAGTTCCTTCTTATTTCAGTGAGCTCAGGAGTTTTCATTGAGTCCTAGTGAATTTCATAGAAATTTTAAAGAGTTATTGTCAAAAATTCCTATGGCTGTTACACTAAACCGTGATCAGCCTATCCTCTAGGCTTTCAACAGTACACGGATTAACATACAAAACATTGGACAAAGTGGCAATGACTAAAACAAAGTGTGTAAATCACTTAACGTACCACTGGCAGTCCACTACTAGTGAGCATTAATGATGAAAAAAACAACAACCACAGGACCACAATTGCCAAACTGGTTTCCTCAATATTTTGATAAATGTAGGTGTTTTTACACCTCATTCAACATAATTTAGATAATTTAGAAGGCAACCTTCTACCCCTGTCTGTCAGGACCAACCTGAGCTAAGAGGGATACAAACATCTCAAGAGAAAGACCGAGACTCTCAACAAAAGCCTTCTCCCAACTTGGACGTGGAACTCAGATCTCCTGCATGCGACAACTTATACGCGGTGCCCACTATGGATGGGATCGGCCGATCAGCCCGATCCCCTGACTCGATCGCCTCAAAAGCAAACGTGTTTGTTTTCAGTTTCAGGCGATCAAGTCGGGCGATCGGCCCGATCCAGCCGTAGTGGGCACCCCGTGTAAGGGTCTCACCATTAAACCACAGACGTTGGTTGGCTTCTTCAAAAGCTCAAACAACAGATAAAGATCTTCAATAAATACCATCAAATGTTTTTTCGTTGTCAATCTGAGTAAAGAGAAACACACCGACACCAAGACAGACGAGCGAAAACTCCATTTCAACTTGAAGCTGCCATGTTGAAACATTAAAACCATAGTTCCCACAATAACAACAATTAGACTGAGAGCACTATCTTCTATAATAAAATGAGAAAGTGAAGACACAGAACAAACAGGCAAAATAAACAAAACCACTTCCACATACAGCTGAAACATGGGTGGTTGGAGAGATCTTACTTCTTCTATCCTCATTTTGTTTCTGTGCTCCAGTTATCTGATGTGCTGCACCAATTTATGTATTTGCTGAGTCATAAGATATGATGAGTGGATGTATGCCCCAAAGGCCTTTCAAATAAATAAAATCATCTTGAAATCTTGAAATCTTATGCCTCAATCTTGTTTTTCCCCGGAACTTAACGGCCATGATTGTGTCATGTGCTTCTCTTTACTCAAATAAATAGCAGAAACAACACAAAGTTGCCATACCTATTTTAATCGGGTCCTTTTTAATTCCCAGCATGGGCAGCAAGCTGTCCGGTATCTGAATCACTGTGGGTTGTGCCGACGAATCAGCGCCTCCAGCCGTCGTTGTATCTTTGGTCTTGTCTGAGGTCGATGTTGTGGCAGTGAAATTCATCATGCTGGCTGTGAATACAAAAAAGGGAATCTGAGACTATTTTCAAAGAAAAAAAATGACAAGCAAAAATCACACACGTTAAGTATATATTTCACCAAGTCCTATACAAACGCAGAGGGCATCTGCATTGACACCTCCACTCGTATACGGACTGACTTACCACAGACCTCCCAAACATACTGACGAACAAACACAAGAGAAAATCTCAGAACAATTGGGAGAGAAAAAGAAAAGGAGTGGGGGAGATAGGATTCACTTAGACTCTTGCAGATCAAGATCTTGAAATGAATCTACTGAATAAATTAGAACACTGAACATGTAGTTACGTTTAGTATGTAGAAAAACAAAACGATCCAAGTCGTTGTTGTTGTTGTTGCTATCGATCCAGCAACAGCAAGGCTCTCGCCCTTCTGTCCAATGCCATGCAGTGATAAGCGCTGATAAGATCATCAGCGTAGAGAGTCTTTTCAGATTTCAGCAAATTCGTTACATCATTGAAGAAGATCAGGAACAAAGTGCAACTCGGACAGGAACCTTGGGGTAAGCCTTCCTCAAGTATGTCTCTTGACGAGTGAGCATTGCTTACCTTGGTTTCGATGTTTCGATCCACCAGGAAGAACTTGATCCACTTATATAGTTTGCAATAGATTCAGGAAAACAGAAAGTGTGAAGACAAACAGGAATCTAGGGTTCACCTGTCAGAAAATATGTGTGTGTGCCTGGAAGAAAGTCCCAGTTGTCGGCAAAGCTAATTTTGAGCAACGGAGTGAAAAGGCCCAAAAATTCAAACTGGTTAAAAATTTACTTTCATCAGAAAACACACATTTAACCATTTCTCAACAGCAAATTGAAAGGATTTTATAATATTTGAAGGCTTACCTTTTTTTAATTAGTTATTTTTCTGGCATATTATAATTCATCAAAAATCATTAAAATGTGTTAGAAATTGGGTTTTTATCCAAACTTTGTTTTTTACATCCCATGTCACAAAATGTGGCATATCATTAAAACTATTCAAGATATTTTTTAAATTACAAAATTAGCTACAAAAATATGCCTTTATTTCAATATAAAAAATTTTCTACAACTGGGACCTTTCTGCAGTAGAGACGGGCGGGGAGCGCATTTTTCTTCCTAAACAAGCAGGCCAGGAAACTGACCTATTTCTCGCCGATCCCGGTCCCGGTCCCGAGAAGTGCTGGCCGACTCGTGACCAAATTCTCTTCTCTCGCCGTTGAATGAGCAGCCCGCTGAGCGCGAGGGACGGCTGTGGTCAGGATCTAAACTAGGCTAGCCCTGTTGCGCAGGCAGTGAAGGAGGAAGGTAGGGAGAGGCTGCGCGCCTAAGCATTGATCAACTCTCCACTCGCCTCGCCTCGCCACCTTCTCCCCTCCCTTTCAGTTTCAGACATAGGATGGCACGGTGATGGGTGGCACTGTCTGTGTGTCAGTTCTCGCTGGCTGTGCTGATTTCTGTTGACGCCTCTCACTCTCGTTACTCGTTATGTCAAACTAACGAACGGTATCACTTCTCGGTACCGGCCAGTAGTTTAGTGGCCGGGCAGTGACGGGAACGGCCGTTCTCGCGAGAAACGGGTACTCGACTCGTCTCATGCCTGCTCCTATTCTCCAGGCACACACATATTTATATTATACCAGTGTGTGTTTCTGCCTCATTTACCATCAATCCCATATGGTCAGGAGTATAAGGACACAAATCGGCACCATGCAAAACGGAACCAGGTCTTTCAAAAGGTAAGCAACTAAAACAAATCCGTTTTTTGAGGAAATTTGCCGTATCAGTTTATCATATGCATCGCAACTCCGCAATATATAGGAATGATTAGCGTAGTTTCACTTTGATCTGAATCACTTTCGCTAGAGAAAAACAGACACAAAAACTGTCATTTAGAGCGGGAAATATTAAAATAGACACACAGAAACAACAGAGGGATAGAAAAGAAGTAGGACCTACCAGTAGTGCCCTTCAACTACTCCCAATGACGGATAATGACAAAATACAACAAAAGACTATCACAGGAGAAGGGACCAAAAAAGCCTGTAAATTGGTCTCGCAAGAAAAGGTTAATTTTCCAGGTCCCCCTTAATTCTTCACTTGAACTATTCTGCTGTCTTAAGGCAGAGCAATGTAACTGCACATTTTATAACTTAAAGAAAAAAGCAATTAACTCGATGCTAATACTGACATTGGCTTGCATAGCTTTACTATTTAGAAAACTACGATTTCAAATGTAGATATATCATCCTGCCTTTGACACATTAAAGATTATTGGCAAAACTAGGGTTACAACCCAATAAAGCCAAATAAGTCACATTTGTCACACTTCCTTGGAACGGCAGTGTTCTAAGGCTGTAAACGTCTCCTTCTCTCACATAAGGAAACAGCAATCAAAGTTTGGAATTGAACTACCAATGTATGAACTTACCTGGAGTGTCCATAGTAATAACATTGTCCGAGGTATCAGTGTTGTCCCCAACAATGGGAATAGTGTCACCTTGCAGAGCACTTGGGATAATACTGTTGCTGTCAAGCACTGAGGATGTAGTAAACACAACAGAACGTTGAAAACTTGTCTTGAAAAACAAAAGTGATAACAGGACAACCCAAGCATCCAAGCACCCAAGCTCAGAAACAGGGCACAGGGCACAGCACAGTGGAAACCAGCAGTGTGTATTTGTTATACATGTAATAGAGTGGTCTCCAGCTCACAGAATGCACTTCGGGTACCAAGAAAAGAGTGCTCTTACGCAAATGTGCTAATGAGTGAAATTTAAAGTAGAATAATCAAGAGTATGGTATATATTCCGCTGAATTTCATTGATCCGAAACCGTCGTGCATCTGATCTCCTGCAGTGGGTTGCACCATTGAGCTGAACTAGTCCCAAGGAGTGAAGTTTTCCTACATCTACTAATTAATTACAGAGAACTGTTCTGTTATAATTATAGCATAGCCCTCTCACACACTCCACCCATTATGAAGCAGAGCACTGGTTTTCCTCATTATTTACGCATTTTTGCCTCACACCATAACCTTATTTCTTTTTCTCCCTGACAAAGCCGCAACTTCAAGAGATAAGGGAGAGCAGATCATGTTTGCTTCGCTTCCATCAGTTTCAAGTGAAATGAATTGATTTTTATGGCTGATCCTTCCTGACGTTAGCACAAGAACAATCATGCTTTTAGACAAAGTTGTCGATTTGACAAGTGGTCTTACGAGAGATAATTATATGGGGAAAATTCAGTTCTGAACAGCTGCTGTGATTTAAGGCGGATCGTGTCTTTATCCAGCAAGTTATTAGCCGGAAACCACTGTAATATTTGAATTGGCATGACATTGTTTATCATCTGATAAATTAAGAATTTTTGTTTGTATATATTTATGTATGCATTGTACAACAAATTTTTAGTTCCTAAAGTGGGTCAATGTAGGTAGTATTTTAATTCATATTTAAAACATCATTTTATTTAAAGTCAACCGTTTGATCTTCAAAGCACAACTATAGGTTAGAATCAAATAATCTCTTTTAAGTATAACAGTCATGATGTGATAAGAATACAAACAAAATAAGACTCAGAATAAGAGTAACAGGTTTCCTCATTGTTCTGCACATATGAAGGGATACTGTGACAAAGCAACTTTCATATAAAAATAATGAAACACCAAGCACAGGCTGATTGAATCATTCAATTCGTGATCTGTACTCATCTGAAGTAAAAAAAAACAAAATTAATCATAACAGCACAAATTAATTAGTTACAGCAATTTTTGTGACCAAATACAGTCCAACGCCCATTGTCGAGGAGAAAAGTGGTCATCTTAGTCGAACAGTCCTCTCGAACAGTGTCATTTTAATAATGAACAAAAAATGCACAAGGAGAGAAAAAGGAAGTGGCCGTTTGTACAGTTGATTTTTCTCCAACAGGTGGCTGTTAGAGCAAATTTGAATGTATCGGAAAGCAGTGAAGGCTAAAGATCCAGCTAGTAATCCATGCGGGGGAAAAAAACGAAAGAGTGAATTTTGACAAGATAACCCATTTCATCACAAAACTTTAGGAACCCCAGTATTTCTCTGTACCTCCAGAGGTGTCAAGAGGCAGCGAGTCGGTGTCATTGGCCAGGGAGAGAGAGCTGGCGTCAGCAGCGTCCCCAGCCCCAGACGTGCTGGTCACAACTGCGGTGGCTGTCACCGTCCTCGTTGTGTCTTCCGCCGGCTTGATTGGAAGTGTCGGGCGGAAGTTTGGCAAGTTATGAAAGCCCTGAAGAAAGAGAAAAAGCCACTTTGGTGTTACTGGTTTAGACATGAATACCAGTGTAGGAATCTAACGGCTTTGATAAACAGCTAATATCTAACATTTGATCCTACTAAGTGTCAAAGGCAAGCTTTAATTTGACTAATATGGAACTCTGTAATCTGAAAAAAAAGTTAATAACATCTCCTTTTCAGAGATCCATCTGTGATAGATGTCAAGTTTTATTCTTTAAAAAAGAAAAGCTAAAATAAATTAACCTGTGTGCATCATGTATATAAATTCTATTTTGGTTTAGGGTAGTCATATGACTAACGGGGATGCTCTTCCTGCTGAGGGAGGGAGGAAGGAACCCCCCCCCCCCCTTCCCAAGTTATCACACACCATTGTGTCATATGCTGGTGGAGGAGCAACAATAGGAAGAATGTCACTTCAAGACAGAAAGGGTACCAAATCCACACCCAGGACATACATTTTTTTTTAAATTATCATAAATGGATTATGAAGTTTTTTCTTTTTTTTTAACACAAAGGCCAGAAAAATCAAAATGACAAGTGACTCCCACACCACCTGCAGTTTTCCATTTTTTGACCGAAAGGTCAACAATAAACATGATAAACAACCCAAAGCTGCATTGTGAGCCAGGCTATCTGTACCTGTACCGGTGTCATCAGGAGAGTGGTCTGACCATTGGCCGACGGAATCATCACAGCTGGGATGGAGGTAGACGATGGAGGTTGACCAGGGGGTGGGTAGCGGCGGGGTCGGCCTCGCCCTCGTTTCACAGCTACAGGGGGGGGACAAAAACGTGGAAGAATTGCAAGAAACAACAAAAACTTCCTTTGTCTTTTCTTTATAAGTAGGTGTTTTTTACACCCCTATTAACACAATTTAGATCATTTAGGAGGCGGGCTTCCAACCCTGCCTGTCCGGGCCAACCTGGTCTGAGTCTGAGAGAGAAACAACATACTAGTAGAAAGACCGAGATACTCGATAAAATTTCTCCCCACTTGGATCTCCTGCGTGTAACAGCCAAGCGCCTAACCACTACACCACAAATGGTGGGAAAATCCCTCTGTGTGCGTTCAAGTACTCGATCTTGTTAGGGTGCAAGCATTGACTCCTGTCTCTATGTGTGCGAAAATATATCTGCACATACGATATGAGTGTGGACATTTAGGTATAAGAACAAAGAAGCCTAAACCATAAGAGTTCAAAATTTTTACTCAAAATGAACCTCTCCCCAAACATTTCTAAATCATTGACCATCTTAAACAGCTTTTACAAATAAAAGGCTACGAAATGAGAACACATTTATTGTCGGTGTCTAATTGAACTCTTTTTTAGTTTTAGTAGAGGTTTTACAGCGCTCGCAACTGCATAAATTCTTTCGCTAGGAAGAGTCTTATGTTAGATGTGCTCTATATGCCGCTCTGCTTAGTGCTCCAAAATTTTTTTAATAACGTAAGAACGAGAAGGAAAAAAACTACGAAGTGAATGAGTTAAGCTGAAAGTAGTCTTTCAATGACTTCTTCTAAGCCTATATTCATCTTTAGCAATGATGAAGCCCACAATAAGACGGATCCCAGTTTTGAACTTCTTGGAGTAGTTGAGTAGTCAGAAGTGCCAGTCTCATAAGTTACTGACATAACAGGCAGGCTTGCAATAACTACAGCAGGGGTAATGACAAGAATATACGAAAACAACAATGGAAAATTTTGCCTTAATAAACGCAAGTGCACTTCTTCCAAAGTTTACTCTCAAAGCCTGAATACCTCAATAACAACCACAGTGATCACAGACCCATTCAAAAAGAGAGTAAAATAGAAATATCATTACAGTAAAGCGTATCTTGAACTTTAAAATTTGACTTTCTTTCAACCTGAAAATGCGACTGGTTGTTTCTCCATTGAGGTCTTTCTATACATACGTGGAGGAGCAGCTGCTGGAGCTGCCGTCAAAATCATGGTGGGCGGTTCTGCCTCCCTCTGAGCTGTTTTCTTTTTCTTAAAGTCTGGCAGGTTGAGGGTGATGTCTGGGTCTTTATCTTGGTTATCTGTGAAAGGTTCCTCCTCATCTGAGTCTTCAAGCTCTTCGTACTCTGAGGAAATACATTCATCATATTCATAATGTTACCATGCTCCGATATAAATACAGTGGAGTCAGCTGAAACCAAAATCTGTGGGACTGTTAAGTTTTCCTCAGTTTAGCTGGGTTTTCGGTTCAGAGACATTGCTCAAATAGAAGTAAAAATTTGAGGGGTTTTGGAGTTTGTTTGGTTGGGGTTTTTTTTGGGGGGGGGGTTGTTTACTGCTGTTTTCGGATTAACCGAGTGCGGTTTAAGGGGATTCCACAGAATGTCAATTGATTTCACAAACACAAAACTGAGATCAAACCCGTCAGGAAATCTGAGTTAAGTTCATACTGCTTAAAAATAACACAGGTACTAAAACTATTTCTTATTGTAATGTGCAAAATGATTTTTTAGATCCACAGGGATGGAAACTGATCAGTCCAAAATTTACTGATCTTTTCGCTTGCTATACAGATTTGGAAAAATACACTTATTCGATTGTACACATAGTAGAATAAATCACCTTATGGAAAATAATAATTTCACTTTACTGCTAGTCGACCAAGCGTTTATGGAGGCCACTTACGGACGTCACTCACCACTTACGGAAAATGACTGAGCAAATCAAAATTACTGATTTCAGTAAATTTACGGAAAATTTCCATCCCTTAATACCTATTCCAGATGGCAGAAATATTAGCATTTTTTAAGAAAAAAAGAATATGAGCAACTATAAGTAGGTAGCGTAAACACGGCCTCGCGGGCACTCACGGCCTTCCGACCTCGTGGTATCAGGGAAAACGGGGTAATTCCGATCGGTTTCTTTGCTCTTTCGTTATAAAACACCAAATGCCGTACACTTTGTAAAAGTTCAGCTTTTCCTCGTTACAACGGTGTAAGTTGTTTACATGTCCGATAATTAGGAGCTGGAGAATCGCCAACGAAAGCGAAGCCCCTCGCGGTCGGAATGCGAGGTCGGCCGGTTCAAAAATTGACAAGTGTGCATTCAAATGCTTCACGGAACGAGGGATGATTTAATACCGTCTTTTCATAGGCGGAGAACTGTAGAACTTTAAACGCGCTTTTCCGTGGTATATATTTGGCCTTTGGCTTTTAAATAGAAAGCTTTTAAAAATACTGTCCACATGTTTAAAGATCACTTTTTACACAAAATATGTAAAATACCGGCTTTAAAATAGTACCAATTAAAAGATCAGTTCATTTCCTATTAGAATAAAGTAATCAGCTTGGAATTATTTTTCATCAATCCTTCCGAGAGACTCGGAAAGCATGTGACCGCGCACGCAGGGTACACTACAGTATAGAGCCGACTCGCTCGCCGCGGGGGCCGGTGTGGCGCCGGCCGGGTCAACGCTCGGTGTTTTTGTCGAAATAACGACAGATCATCGTGTTTGAGGCGATAGAATACTGATTTGTAATGATCTCACAGTCTTGAAAAACATTAGGCTCCATATATTTGTTATAGTGATTGTACTCTGTTAATGTGGAAATGTTTAGTGCACTTGGTACTCTTTTATTGTCTGTCAAACATGGGATTGCAGCCAGTGACTGACTTTAACAAATTTGATCAAATTTTAAACAACTACCATTTTCTTAAAAATTGACTGAGAGGTTAAAGAATGGTACCAAAATGCTCAGTGGATATATAGGCCTTTCAAATGGAACAGATAAATTTGGCATACAGCTACTTTGAAAATTTAGTTTCTGTTACCTACTGTAAGGGAAAAAATAATTGAAAAGACATGAGATAGGACAGCCTATCACAAAATTTTAGAAAATGTGAACTGGATTGCTGTAGGGAAAATCTGACCCAAGAGTTATCATCCCACAGAACAACTGGCACTAGCATGTACAGTGTATCTTCCTGATACAATCAGGGTATCTCCACCCTCAAGGCAATCACGTGCAATTTTTCAAGGTCACGTAATTCTCCATAAAAGTCAATTTCTTCATTTTATTATTTTTTTATGAGGACTAGCAGTGCATTTTGTCTGGCAACTTATCATGATAGACAAGTTTTCCTTCAATTTTACACTGCCCCACATCCTCAGTTAAATCTCATAGACACCACACCAACCTTCCAATAGCTTTGCTTTGCGTCTTTTCCTTCCACTTCGTCTCACCCCATCTGTCCCTGAAATGAAAATATTTTCCAATGCGTACAGAGGACATACATAAAATCTATCAACATAACATTCTTTTAGAACAATCCTATCCAACATCAAGCCAAAAATGTTGAAATCAAAGGTATATATACAACTTCTTTTTACATTAAGAAGTAAATAACCTTTCCAAGCTGAGCCCACAAAGAAATTATTGAAAACAAAAATGTTTTTTGCAAAATGCACATTACCCTGCCTGAACTGTGTACTGATATTTTGAACAAAAGAATTTCCTATTTTTCTTTGGAGGCACATAAGATTTTACAACAAAATTTGGAAGATTTTTATATCATAACATTTGGACAAACCAGCAAGTAAAATGTACACCATCACAAACAAAATTGTCTGAATGATTTTACGGTATTATGCGTACAGACACTCACCAGTATCTCAGCCAATTAAATGGTAATTGTAATGGTATAATGTCCCTCTCAAAATTATCACAAAGTTATCAGAGAATGGATAGGGCACCTAAAAAGCTACCAAGACAACCCAAATTTAAGAATTCCCCATCAAAGATTTGAAGCAGGACCATCCATATCACAGTCCTTCATAATACCAGCTGGAATTACAGCACGCTTTCATTCAAATATCACTTATACACTGAGCCCAACGGCAAAGAGTGAAAATAACTTGAACATGTTCAAAGGTGCTGATTAAGCCTTCACCTGTATTCGACAGCTCCAGGAGAGTTTCAGCAGCAGAGTTCTGCTCGGAGCCTGACTGCTGCAGTTTTTCCATCTGAGCCTGTTGCTGTTGCCGTTTCTTCTCCATCAGTTTTTGTTTTTCCTCCTCACTGAGTCGAGGACGACCACGCCTTTTAGTACCTAAGGAACAAAAACACAAAACAACTCTTCTAAAAGAGAATGTTCGTGGGACAGGACAGAGAATTTGTCTTTAAACACAGGTTTCATCTTAGACTATTACTTTTTTTTAAATCCACCTTTGCAGCAAAGAGATTTCAAATTTTGTTATTTACAGAATATACAGCTACCAAAAATGTTGACAAAAAACTAGATTAGACTGGTAAGATTTGAATTGCTAAAATAAAGACTGGCTCTGACAGTAAGAGACAATAAACCATCAGCTCCATGGGGGGTACATTGTCCCATGTGAAATACAATAGAGGTACCTGTACACTACAATGCAAAGTACAAGTGAGTTTATCCTATACCGGACAATGTGAGCTACAGTGTCACATTTAACACTTTCCACCCACCAAGCGAAATACTTTTGTCCTCCCATACCAGAAGGCAGATGGGATACGACAGTGCTACACCTTTACCTTTACAAAAATACCCCAATCATTATGAAATTTTCAGCACCTTGAGGAAACTGAATGTGATGATCACATGTTCATTTAAAAAAAGGAATTAGAATTGGAACTGAAAACATTAGATCTAGCACATTCATCACCCGAATTCTCATCATGGCATCTGTTTACAGCAGCACTCATGCCAGGATACCCGACTTTTTCCAAAAAATATTGACTCCAATAGTTCAAAACAAAACGATTTTCATTCTCAAAGGCCACACTAACCAATCAAAAAGGAAATCATAACTTAAACAAGTGCGCATGTCTAGAAGGAGATCATTCCTACAACCTTCATGCTGCTATATCACACTGTCACCAATCCACGTCCCATGAGTAAAAGGAGTTTTCGTACTTGAGCAGATTGTGGCTTTTGGAGAGCTTGAAGGACAGATTTGGCATCTGTGAGGATGACGGTGTTGGCTTTAGAGTTTTGGTGATTCAAGAGAATGGCGGCTGGTGTTTCAAGAGCTGACGTTTCAGCTTTATAGTCGGAAGATAGAGATCCTGTGGGGATGGAATGGCTCTCTGTTGACCCTTCTATCCACTCTATGTAGATACCTCCACCGCCAATTTTGACTGCATCAGTAGCTGATCCATCTGTGTAAACTCGATTCCACCGGTTGCTTGGGAAGCTTCTGTCCAGGTAGTCGAGTGTAAGTGACTTGAGTATCAGAGGGGGGACTTCAGATTTGGTGCCATGCTCTTCAAGTTTCTCTCGAATTTGAGGGGGGCGATTAGTCGGAAGGAGACGGACTTGACAAGGGGTTAGAGATTCTTCAAGAGAGATTTCGCGTCCGGAGCTAGAGTGTCTGGCCATATGGAGGTAGCTTGTTCTTTTTAAACGTTTGCTCAGGCTTTCATTGGGAGGGTGGGCATTCTTTTGACCTTTTCCTGATGAACGATCGCTTTCAGAACATGTCTGTCATACAGGGGTTCTAGCCCAGTTAGTGTCTCCATGACATGAATAGGCGTAGATCTCATTGCTCCCGTGATGATCTGTAGATTTTGATTCTGGATTCTTGTTACTTTGTGGAAGTTGCTGTCCGATGCTGTTCCCCACGCTGCGATACCATATTCCAGGGCTGTGTGGATATATCCAACATAGACACCATGTAAGATGGTGTGGTTTGCTCCCCAATCTGACCCTGCCAACTTTCTAAGCAGTGCTGTTCTTCTGTTACCTTTACTTCTGCACCTCTCTGTTTGGGCTTGCCACGTTAGTCTTGGATCAAACGTCACACCCAAATAGGTGGGATTTGTCTTGTGTTGTAGAGTGCTTCCATCAAGTTGCAAGTATACCTTTCGGGGTTTTGGTGAGAGGCTGAATGTTGTGTACGTGGTCTCGTTCTTATTGATCTTCTGTCCCTACTCCTCTGTCCACTTCATCATGGTGTTCAGTGTGTTTTGGAGTCATACCTGGGCTGTTCCCACTGATTCTGCCGAGCATAAAAAAGCGATGTCATCAGCGTACTCCGCTGCTGTCACTTTCTTGGTGATGGTGGTTGAGATGTCGTTGAGGAAAATCAGGAACAGGGTCGCTGATAAAACTCCCCCTTGTGGGACTCCATTACTGATTGTCTCCATTTTGCTTCTTTTTTCCTTGCAGTTTCACACAGGCTCTTCTTTGAGATAGGAATTGCCAGATTTATTTCAGCATGATGTGAGAGATGTTAAGATTTTGTAATTTCAGTATGAGCCCTTCTGTCCTGACTTCATCAAACGCCTTCTCCAGGTCGATCCAGACAGCTACAGTGTGTTCTTTCCTCTACCATCTGAGCTATATATGCAATCTGGTCTTCGGTTGATCGATGTTTCCTAAACCCAGATCTGATAGAATATGTTTTTTTTCTAGGAACCAGCCCAGTCTGTAGTTGAGGATCCTCTCTTGAAGCTTGCACAGACAGCTGGTGAGGCTGATTGGGCGGTAGCTTTCTGCACTGTTCTTGGGTTTTCGTCTTTGAGGAGGGGTATCTGTATAGCAGTTCTCCAAGCTTTTGGAATTTTCCCGTTCTTCCAGCTGCTGTTGAATATTTGGAGAGTTTTCTTCTTAGCAGTGTTTCCTATGTGTATAAGCATGTTCATTGCTTAATTTATTTGGGCCAGGGGCTTGTCTTTGTTTAAGATGGAGAAGGGCTCTATCCAGTTCTGTCATTAAAAGTGGTTTGGTCATAACATCATCCTTAGGTTCTTGTGGGGATACAAAAGCATGTATTTTTCTCTGTACTACTTCTACTCTGTCTGGAGATAACACTGTCCCATGTAAGGTACGGTAACACTGTCCCATGCCGGGTACAGTAACACTGTGCAATGTGAGATACACTTAGACTTATCTACCTATGGTACAAGATGTGAACTACACTGTCCCATGCCGGGTACAGTAACACTGTCACATGTGAGGCACACTGACCCACATAAGGTGTATCTGAGGTACACTATTCTTCCCCTGCTCACCTGGGGCAGGCTTGAGGGGATATGCACACACTTGCTGGGTGTCCTGGTTGAAGGCCAGCACACATTTCTTGCCTTTCACAGTGATGACCGTCTGCTCCGAGAGGGGGATGGGGTTGGTCAGATCAGGCTCCTTCTCCACAACCAGCTCCTTCTTCACACTACTCCTTTTCTCTTCCTGTTACAGAACGTGGTAAGAAGTGTAAATTAGAACAAGAAGACAGAGCCCAGTCAGAGATGAAGTGAGAAGAAGGGAAGCTACTGGTGAAGGATTGGCCGTTCTCTCAGGAAGCCAGGAAGATGCATAACAAAGAAAGTGTTGGATAGGGAGCCACAGGGTAAGAGATCTAGGGAAAGATGGCTTGAATCTAGAGAAGAGTCACAGAGAATGATGTACAGGAAAGTGGGAAGACATAGAATAATACCAAGAGGCTAGCCCGCGATAGGGAAAGGCAGGAAGCATTATTTTGTTCTTCACCTATACCCTGAAGCAGGGTGAAAAGGGCAGTGATGATGATGAAGAGAATGTGTGATGTGATCAACAAGACGACAGACCTTTGCAACAAGAAGGTCCTTATAACTGAGGTACTAAAGGATTGAGCAGCAAAAAAAATAAATTTTGCTGGAAAACTGTAGCCTAAAAGGACATATTGAGGCAAATGCACAGTCCATGTAACTATTAATGTGAATATTTACGTTTTTTTAAATCACTCTTTACCAGTAAAAACATTCTACAAAATCTAGAACCTAAATAAACACAGAAAGAACAACCTCTAAGAAGGACATGTAGTCAGAGAAGATACATACCAACTTCATTCGATTCTCTTTTAAAAAGGAACACACATTAGAACATTACAAAAAAATGCCAAAGACCTGAAAGTAATCTGACTAATCAAGTGCTGAGAGAGGACTAAGTTGTTTTATAGTTTGGTTTTTTACTTTTGGTTGGCTTTCATTTTAATGCCCAACCACACACAAAAAGGTCATTTCTAAGGTTGCACACTAGGTCCAGTGATTACAACAAAAAAAGAAGGGAGGGTAACAGGCAGAGATAAAATTCAAAAGTAAATAGCCCACATGTATAAACACAAATGCCAATTACAAGTAAGTCTTTTTTTTTTGTTCCTACCAATCCACAAAAGGGGGAGAGGCTTTTAACTAGTCACTCACTGGTTTCATTAAAGTCTGCTCCATATCAGAATTTACAACAACCGTTGCTCCATTACTATTGTCATCTTCATCTTCTCTCTCCTCAACCATCTCTCTGACTTTGTCTTCAGATACATCTTCCAAACTGTGAGCAGTTTCATGAATGACTGGATTAGATACTGTTAGCGTAACACTTTCATCCTCAGGGTTTTCAAGCACAGGCTTCATTTCTTCGTGTCCGTCAGGTTCCAGTTTCAAGTCAGAGTCACCCTGCCTCGAGTCCAGGTGTGCAAGAGCCTCTGCAGCACTGAAGCTTCCATCGCCACCAGTCAGGGAATGAGACAACTCTCCTTGAAGAGCCTGCAGCATTTCTATTGGCAAAGCCTGGCCTTCAACACTGCCATCCTCTCGTTCCACCTGCCACAGACAAAAATACATTCTCTAAAACATGTAACAATCAAAAATAAATCTCACTATAGATAATAATAATAATAAATAGCATTTGTATAGCACATTATCCCCGCTCAATAGCAAGCTCTACGTGCATGACACAATAATCTTACCCCAGCAGACCGTGTAACACTCAGAAACATTCTCAGCTCTCTGGGAAGTATACAGTGCAAGCAGCCAATTAAGTGCTCAAACACTGTAGGTAAAACTATTTTCGTAGAAAAGAAAGGAGGAATTTCAGAATCATACTTTGTACCATGAGCACATTCTGTATAAAATCTACAGCAATAGAAATTTAGGGTACAAACACAGGCTTCAAATATGCCCTTGGTTCCAATCATATCTACATCTCCATAAACTGATCACTTCTTTTATTCAACCAACATGACTAACAAGTGGGTACACTAAATATTGAAAAATATAACCAATAACCACTGACATGTCTTAAATGTCTATGTATAATTAATTAAATAATCTCCATTATCATCTTGCTTTTTTCACTTGCCCTTATGTTCTCTCCACAATACCTTACAAACAGCACTGATTATTCATTTATCGTAACAAAACGAACAGAGGACTCACAAAACAAACTTTCTTACAACTACAAGCAGTGATCAATTATGTTTTACAACAAAACATGTGGCCAAAGCAGCCGCCAGTCTCACCTGCATGACAGAATTATCAATAATCTGGAAACTTCCATCTGCCAGTTGCACAGCCTGAGTGATGCCCTGTTGGCGCAGCAGGAACTGCGTGGCTTCATCCAGATTGAGCGTGATAGTGTTTCCCACATGCGGCAACGCTCCCTCGCTGTCCTCCAAGCTCCCCACCTCTGGGTTGGTGGCCACCACCATGAACTCTCCACCTTCTCCTTCCATAAGGGTGAACCCTTGAGCTGACCCAGCATCTCCCTTGAGAACTGTAGCACTGTCCCCAGCTATGGAGGTTATGACATTCACACCTGAAGGCAACAAAAGAGTAAAACAATGTAGAAATTCCAATACATTGGATAAACGAGAATAAATTCCCATTTTTCAAAATTCAATTATGTGAACAAACTTGTAACAAATTTATTTTCCATAAAGTGGAGTAAATACCACCAAGAAGCTCTCCAACATCATCCCATTCTTGGGTCAGCCCCTCCACACAATTCTTTAAAAATAAACCTTTAAAACTCATAGCCGTACACATTAAATTTAGGAAGGTGACCCGTTTACCCCAGGAGACCAAGACATATATTTGTGTGAACCTACCATCAAATCACAAATTTCATTCTGCACACTACATGAGTATTGTTGACTTGTGATTTTCTGCAATTTACAGTCCACCAAACCCACACACAAGTCTACTGGAAACAGATCTTGGCCAATACCTCTAAATAAACACATCCTTGAAAGAAATCCTAAGGAAACATTCCAGAAAATCAAAGCTCTTTGATTTCCTTAAATTTCTTTAATCTATGAATCTCTTTTAAAATTTACCACCTTCAGGTGCACATCATTAGTTCTCATATCTCAGAGAGACTTTTCATACAGTGCCTACCTGTGGTAGTAGAGGATGTTATATCCTCCAGGGAAAAAACTGACGATGGAACACTTGTGACAAGGCTTTGCATTGCTTGCGCTCCATCAGGAATTGCATTGTCAGGCAGGTATTCTTTTTGGAAGATAAATCTCTCTGGGTTCAAGTCACTATTCTCCTCTACCTGACCATCAAACTCTAGACCCGGCTCAACTGCATCACTGTGTTCATCAGCCATCTTGGGTTTTCAGCATACTGATTGTGTCCTGTAAGGAGACAGGAAATTCGGACTCAGGAGCACATCTTTTGTTAAAAAGCCTTTTATATATTCATAATTCATTAATGGATTTGATAATTTAACTCGGAATCAAACCCACATCAGGAGTAAAGATGACAATGCCCAGTTAAGTTTTCACTGCAGTGGAACTTCACTGCAGTGGAACTCGGTTTCAACGAACTCGGATTCAACTAAAGGGATTGGATTCCCCGGATTTTTATTCGTAAAAATCAATAAAGATAACTCGGATTCAAGGAACATATATATATATATAAATGAGCAAGCTCGGATTTAAGAAAGTCACTTGCAGGTTGAACTACTTCATGCGACCAATCAGCGGCCTCCTTTCAAGCTAAGATATATGCGTTGTTTACACATACCAATGTTTTAGCGTGTGGCGGCCAGTCGAACGGGCTGCCAGCACACGTGGGAAGTGTGACAGGGTGTGCGTGTGTCGGGGGGTACTTTTATTAAGCAGTCAAGACGTGGAATGTCAGTAGAGATAAAAACGAGACACACCGGTTACTGATCAATATTACAAGACATAGGTTATGTAATAAATTGCGCGCTGGACAGTGGAATCAAATGTGACCCTGTGCTAGGCTCTACACAGCAACATAACTTGCTCGGCAAACAATATGTTATAGATTTATAGATTACACAGGTATGCATTTGAGCGAATGAATTGGCCCTTTTGCAGTGTGTGCTTGATAGAGAGTTCAGAGTATTTACAGGGAATTTTTCAGCATTTTTTCGGTATCAAAGAAACGACCCCAAATGCTTCTCATTTGAAAGCAAACTACTTTTGGTTGAGAAAGTATTACTTGCTCAACACCTGTAATTATCTACATCAAAACCTCATATTTGCTATAATGAACACTCAGATTCAACTAAATTGAAGGCCAGGCCCAATGACTTCTTGAATCAGAGTACCACAGTATTATACAAATCCCTATTCAACGTTCCACAACAAGAGACTACTGTGCTTGTGTTCCATTCTTCGACTGCACTTAAAATCAAAATTAAACGGTAAAACATCATTAACCAAAAATAATGGCGGTGACAGGGGAGATTACCGTGTCCTACAGGACTTCCTATATAATTCATTCCTTTCCCCCCCCCCCCCCCCCCCCCCCAGATCATAGGGCCGAAGGTTACACCCGGATGACTGATCAACAAAAAGCATTCATTTTAACCTCTTAAAGAGTTTTTTTTAAGTTGTTTTTTTAGCTTGTTTTGATGTTTTTCTTTATTTCAAATCCAAGTGACATAACATACACAATGCATCATAATTTATGAACATGCTAGGGATGAAGACTATGATGGTGAGGATGAGGCTGACCTCCTTGCAAAAAAATAATGTTTATTAAATTAACATCTGGTGTTCTTTTTCGCCTAGCTGACCACAGTGTAGAAGACTGGAGTAGGGAAAAGCAAAGGATTAGGAAGTTGGAAGCACGAGCACACATGGATGTAAGAGTGAGAGAGGAGAGGGAAGGATGCAAAAATGCAATTTATGTCCGCTGGCATACAAAATCAAATAACTTGCCTTCTTCTAACTGCTGCTGACAGTGTTGTATTCTTGAGTCGGAGTGCAGTGACACGACTATCATTTTTTGGCCATTTTTCTTTATTCATGCAATGCCCAAAAATATATGGACCCTTGATCATCCCTGAGAAGTAAACGTTATAAAGTTTACAACGAAAAGGAGGCATAGTTTAGAGAAGTACTCAATTTCTTGATGCCAGTTTAGTTCTTGCTTGAAGGTTCGGATCTCGCTCCGGCTGTCTACCGTAAGTGTCCCAATCGATTGACCAGTCAGTTGCTAGCTAGGGGTCTAGCATAGAGCGTAAGTTACGCATGATTGGCCACAGTAACGACAGCACTAGGGGCATTTAGATCAAAGGCAGTGGCGTTGTAACAATTGATAGCAGTGCCTGGGCAGGACGGTGAATTTTAAGGTGCTGATATGATAACAATGTTGCGGTGGTAAAGATTACGATTGACAAGGAAAAATTATTTTCAATATCGGCACTTCGCCCGCTGGTGCACCCTTTTCCAGTTGCGTGCAAACTTGGACACTTTTACTACTTTAAAGTTTAAAAATAAAATAAATAGCAAGCCTTCATAAAATCTGTCTCTATTTTTCTCAATTGTGATATTTTATTTTAAAAACTGTGAAAGTTTATTATACTAAAATTTAACTCTTCTTTTTTCTTTTCGGACTTTAGTAGTAGAAGTAAACTGTCACTGTAGTAGGCCTGTGGCAGTTATTTAATAACAGGACAGTTCTTTGAGCTTAGATCAGGTACAAATGTCATATTTGGTGAATTAAAAGATGCTTCTCGAGAAGCACAGAGGATGGAAATGGGCATGGGTACGTTAGTTCAGGCTCAGGGTTCAGGATGGGGACGGTAGGAGGGTGAGTGTGTGTGAGGAGGGGGGGGGAGCGACTTTCTGTCAACACGTTGATTTGATCCTATGAAGTAGGCAATGGGTACTGAAATTGACAAACAGGCGAAGACTTTTCCAAAAATTCCATTCTTGTAATACTTGATTCCAGAGTCTAATACAATATCCCAAAATTTAAAAATTATTGGCTAGTTTAAGTTGAGCTTACTTTCGCAAATGTTAACAAATTTCGAATTGCGAGTATACGTCGCAACAAGAGCAAAAGGGGGTTTTCATCCAAATCGATCATAACATTCCCCGATTGGTCATTTTCCCCTTCTCAAGGCACGGGCTTTATTTTGTCCGGATTTACAATCGGTGACTCGTGAACGGTGATGCTAAATCGCAGCAAATATTCAAGTAGTACTCACCAAAAAAGTGTCGTGTAAATTCGAAAAAACACTTTGAAAGCTTTTGAGTGTCAAAAATAAACCTGAAAAAGATGAATTTCAGTGCTGCACAAATAAATCAAGATGGCCACACTGCTTGTCCATGAGTGAACGTCGTCATGACCTATTTTCAACGTGACCCACATGGCTGACGTATTTTTAGCTATTTTAGTCCCATGTATTATAGTCCAATGTACTGTTCATGCGCAAGGTGTCTACGTCTACACACTGACACAGGGTTGGTTCAGTCTTGCTGGTCCTTTTTTTTTCACTCACCCTTTATACTCACGCCTTTAATGTCGAGTTGAAAAGATAACCAAGAGTTCAATGTAACAGAATTTTTGCTTTTTTGCTGGCTCTGGGGTATGTTGTTGTCTTTCTTTTTTACTACTGCCCCAACAGTCAGTAGGCCTACATTACGTTAAAATGACAATTTCATTTCTTATCTAGTACTTTATTCAGATCAAGTCCTAAAAGTCTTGGCCTAGATCTATACCGTACCGGAAAAAAGCTTTTAAAAAATTGTAGCCTACTTGTAATCAATAAAAATGTGAATGTTAAAGTCACAATACTGAGAAAAAATTAGACACTAAAACTGAGGGGGGAAAATGTGACAAAACAGAAGAAGAATCGATGAGTGTGCCCACCTAAAGACCTATAAAATGAGGAATTTAGCCTTTCATTAAGTGTCTCCATGTTACGTCTTTTACTTACTAAATATCCTTCAGATTGACACATACCTGTATGTAAGTGTGCTCTCGGGTCCGTTTCAATATGAGCATTGCTATTGCTAATATTGCTATGTATACAGACCGTTGAGCGTGCCAATGCAATGTAAAAAAAAAAGCACACCAAAAAAAATCACTAGGGAAGACAAGGAAGTGACCGTTTGTACAGGTGATTGTCTTTTATGGGTGCCCATTAAAGCAGGTTTAACTGTGTATGCCTTTTTTTTTTTCTTGGTAAGTGTTTTACGGCCCTCGCAACTGGATATGGATCTAGATCTGCTGTCCCCGTCGTTTTATGCAACAAAAATTCTGAAATTATGCAAACTGAGCCCAAAAAAGTGAAATATTGCTATTCTGTGAATTTTAACAAAGAATGTTAAAGGAAAATAATCAGAAATGTAAAAAATGATCAAATTTTGCTAAATTATGCGGGATGCATAAAACCACGGGGACAGCAATAATGGGGCAAGCAGGCCTTCTCAGTATCCTCCTACATATTGGAGCGCGCGTCTGTGTAGGCCTACACATGATATAAGCCTATAATAAGCCTAGTGGTTTGTGTAGTCATTTTTTTCTTGTAAAATGATTCTGAGAAGGATACATTGTCACTCCAGTAGCCTAGGCTACTGCTTTGTCTTTTAATTTGAAGTTTCTCGAATCCAAGATACTTTTCTGGGGGTGTTTAAATGGTTGACAGAATCATGAGTCTCCTCATTATACACAACTTTGACGACGTGTCAAGGTAGGAGAGTCACCCATGGCAGTTTGTTATTGTTATGATCTATGTGCTCGTTCCATCCTTGTTTTGGCAGGTCTTGGACTCTCTGACTCTTGTTTTCAGTGGTCTTATTATCCGCCATCACTGCGCCTGTATGAAAGACGGAATATCTCAACAGTCAGCTCCACTATTTTATTTGTGGAAGTTAACATTAATTTAGTCTAGGCTATCTCGTAATCCTTTTACAAAAGTAAAATTTCAACTTTCTTTAAACCGAGAAAAGCCTTTTGTCAGCTAAAGAAGCGTCCTGTAAAAAAATAATACAAGAAGAACCTTGGCAACCCCAACGACAAAAGAGACACTTTCAATTTCAAGCAAAAATTAACACCATTTCCAAGAGGCGCTCTTCCACTCCCACCACTACTTCCCCCGGACACAAAATACTAAGGGTCGTTTCAAAGGGCAAGCGTTTGACTTGTTGATAAAATAATTAAGAAAAAAGGTGGCGGAAAGGGGGGGGTGAAGTAGATAACGTACATCGAAATAAAATCGTAAATGATCATGTATAAATAATATTTTATATGCATTTAACCTGGCATGCATGCCCTTTCCCGTAAAACGAAAACAGCTGCAAAAACACGAACAGCAAAAACAAAACGACCGCCGGTTCTGGAAGATGGAGGACCTTCGTCGCCAAAGAGAGGAGAAAAAATGGAGCGTACATCACGGAAACAGCTAGAAAATGAGGCACAGGACAGGCTTCGTTGGAGAAATGTTGTTGATGGCCTATGCTCCACTGGGAGTTAAAAGGGCGAGAAAGAGAGAGATAGAGAGAGAGAGAGAGAGAGAGAGAGAGAGAGAGAGAGAGAGAGAGAGAGAGAGAGAGTACATCATTTCAGAAGAACAAAATGACAACACATCGGAAAGTAAGATGAAATTGACCACAGAATCAACATGTTCATTGTGATCCTAATAACATTTTGACATGAAGCTTACAAGATCTAGTATGAAGTCACCATCAAAACTGATGCATGTTACTTTATGTAACGATGCATGGAAGAATAGACTCCCTACCCCCCACCTCGATGAAGAAATCCTCGTCAAGAGTTTGGAACCTTGTTTTCACTTCGTGGATTAATTCTTCGTTTTCGTCAAAATTGTTACGGCTTTAGTGGGGTTAAAAGATACATGGTAGTCTGAAGGCGCCAGATCAGGACTGGGAGGGGGAGGGGATGGTGGCGAAACCTCCAAACCATACTTTTGAATCCACTCTTTGGTCACGTATGTGGTAATGCATTATTATTATACGGAGTGGCGTACGTCATGCTGCAGGGGGGGGGGGGCACTTTTGCTCAATTATTGTCCCAGTCTCTTCCGTCGCACCTCCCCTACAAGTATCACTTTTTTTAGTGTTTCACGGCAGCAGGCAGCATTAACAGTTTTACCCTGTGGTAGAGAATAAAGCCAATGTATAAGCAGAGAGGGTTTACAGTAATACCTCTCTGGTATAAGCAGAACACATTTGTATTACATGTATTCCGGAACACCGTTTGCCATCAATTTTCGCGTCGAAGTCGAACGCTGCACTTTGAACTTTTTGGGCGGCGGTGATGATGGATGTTTTCGCATTACTGAGTTCCTCCTTGTTTCTGGTGTAATGTGGCGAACTCATGTCTCATCACCCGGGATTATACATTCAAGAAAGTTTTAATTACCTGTGTTCTTCCGCCGAAGTCACTTAATCTGGCCGAACAGCGTGTCAGGGTGTTACCACAAACCACACATCGCTCCACTTTGTGCTCTTCTGTGAGGGCCCATAAAAGCTGATGCTTTGAGATCTCAGCTGGGTAATTATATTTGAACTGCCATAGGAAAGATAGCGCTAGTGTCAAGGCAATATCATGCACTTTGATATAATATATCTATCCTTTAACTTTAACTTGCTTAATTAAAGATAAGCTCATCAATCTGCCTCATGTTGGTTTTAACGCTGAAGTTCGGGACCGCTCTGAACGCAGTTGGTCCTCCAAGTTGAAACATCCTTCTCTGAACAAATTGCACCATTGACGTACCTGTTTTTCTTTTGTTTTGTTTTTTGAATTCATCACATCCGTGCCATATTACACGAATATATCAATAAGGTCTCTACGTCTGAGTGAATTTCAGATAGATTGTTCCCTTTTGCACCCACAACAGCTTTGACTTTAAAAATTCGACAGTGCCTTAAAACCAAGCTAAAAATGGCTTACTTAATGGTATCGCCATATTTGTTGTGCTATCAAAAAAAGCTTTCATAATTTTGGTGCCATATATTCAAATTAATTTTATTAATGCGTTAGTCTCTGATCTATGCGCCTGTTTATTGTACTTTTCGAACAACCTTTTTCGCCCCCACTATTACAACCATGTTAGTTTACCGTGCGTCATTTTGATTTTGAGGCGACAGTTTTACATCAGACGTTCATGGTCAGAATTTGCACGGCAAAACAGTTCCGACTAAACAGATTGTTTCAGATTGGCACAGCACGAGACCATCGTAAATGCTTTACAGCGCTAGCAAGTGCAATAGGTCATATGAGCACGAGGAACACATTAAACATTTTCAGTTGGTAGGAAATTTTGATTTTTTTCCGAGTGGCGGCAGAAGCCTACTTAACTTTTCTGCAGTCGATGTTGGACCATCAAGGGATCTTTAACGTGCGCACAGCACGGGACTTCCGAGGTTTTTTTCGCCCTTATCCGAGAAGGCTAGAAGGTGTAGATCTTACCTACCATAAGATCCGGGGTGTGGCTGAAAGACGGCGGTAAATAAAAGCCAAGGAGTAGCAGTGGAAAGGCAGCAGAAAGAACCGGGAGCCCAGAGGAAGGAGCAAGGGGAATGAGGCAGAAAGTGGAGACGAAAGCACAGAACATTGTTTAATGTTAGAGAGCGGGAGAACATTTTAGAGAGGAAAATTTATGTCGCTATCCGGATTCGAACCCGTGATCTATTGAAAGAGAGTTGAGAGGCGAACGCCTTGACCTCTAAATCACGAGAACCCCCGTCACTAAGTCTGAGTGAATTTCAGATTTTGTTCCCTTTGCACTTACAACAGCTTGGACTTTAAAATTTGACAGTACTTGCTGTGGCATGACTTGCTCCATCACTGCGTTACTCTCTCTCTTACTTTTACACATTGTTAACGAGCGTTTGTCCCTGCTATAATAACTGGTTGGGCTCCGATGAGGCCCTGTTATTGCCGATAACTTTTAATAGAGACAAAGAGTAGGAAAAAACGGGGATTTAAAAAACCCTGTTACTACCGGATCCCTGTTATTACCGTGCCAGTTATATACGGTTTCCACTGTACAAAACTTCCACTAAAGACCTCCACAATTTTTATATTTTTCATCCTTATCTAAGAAATATTTGTGCTCCATCCTAAATTTAGATCAGGTCATTTAGAAAACAGGACACCCCCCACAAAAAAAACAAAAACACAACAAAAACTCAATGCTGGAGGGGATCGAATTGTGGACACCTGGATAGACAAGCAAACGCCATACCCATAGTTACAAAGTCCCCTCCAAAATTACTTGTTAATCCAGTATGCTGGAGGGACTGAATGAGTAAAAACCTCACCAATTGTCTCGATATCCTGAGTTAGTGATACAAATGTGAGGCATCATGGTGAAATCAGGCGCTCGTCAAAATAATGAAATCCGTGAAATCGTCATTTTTCGGCCAGTTAGGCCATATTTTTCAAATTTGTTTTTTGGCTCAACACCTTATATGTCCATTAAAAAACACTTTTATGTGTGGATTTTATAGAAAAACATTGATTAAAGACACAAAAGAAGTAAATTTGCAGTTCCCAAGGACTCTTAAGCTACGGAAGTCACCAAACTTTGGCAGCCATTTTCTCACTAATTTTACTTCTGAAACCCGGCGACCCCCACCTCCTTCAACCGCAAATATCTCGACTTCTATTCAAGATAAATGAATATTTTTTCATCAAAATCAAGGCAAATGAACAACCTTTAACTTTAAGATGACACCAATAACTCTACATACCCAAAAAATTGACAAGAGCCTGAATCCGAGTCGTGACACAAATGGATTTCATTGTACATCGTACTACGGTGGAGTCCACGTATAACGAGTCCGGAAGCAACGAGAAGTCTGTTATGAAGACACCATCTAAAACCCGTTTTTTTTCTCTTCTTTACCTCTATGTAAATAAAATACTACTATAGCGCAATCAGACAAACATGCGAGTCGGTTTTAGTTTTAGCGGAATATCGCTGCTGCTGTGCACAGGCCAATTATACATAATGTAAAACCTCTCAAGTTGAGAAACTTTTTGGTGATCTAGCGAAACAAAGAATGGGAGAGCCCATGAGTGTCACCAATGAAGGCCAGAGCGACTGAGTAGGGAGGGTGTGGCATACGCAGACAAGCAGAACGCATCGCGTGATAGGCCAGTGTAAGCCTAGTTTAGATTATCAAGGCCTGCCATGCCTCTCACTTCTCTGATGTGGGGATGTAGAGGTCACAGAAATGTGATGGATGGAGCCAATGTGTGACGTGTCCAAGCAGACAGAATGCACCACAGGGTGTGGTGGGGTGGGAGAAAACACTTTCTGATCGCCAACCCCGAGCTGTCAGTTAATATCGCTAGCGCTATGTACAGAAAGAAACCCGATTCGATTTATTGATCACGTAAGGCCTAGAGGTCATGTTGAAACAAAATCATCATCAAGGGAGATAGCAAAAAGAAATTAATAGAACACCAAACTCATAGATCTAAGATTAGGACTACTTTACAGTTTCCCTTGAATTTCTTACTGGATCTCTTAGTTATAAGTTATAGCGAGAATCCTGCTATAATGGACATTTTGCATCGGTCCCCTCCCTCTTGTTATAACAGGATTCCACTGTAGTACTATTACCAGTGTCACTGGCACCCTCCAACCACACATTCCACCCTTTTACTTAAGTTATGTAGTATAGGGTTTTACGGCGCTCGCAACTGCTAAGGTCATATGAGCGCGCGAAACACAAGTTGTTTACTTTCGCAAAAGTTCACTCCACGACTGGTCAACTAATTGACTTTAAAATGCTAAAATGTTAAAATTTAGTGTAAATGTCGAACTCGAAGATAACCCTAGTGCATCAATCAGCTCCCCACAAGAGCAGGATGGCAGTAATAAATTGACAAACTGAAGTGTAGCGGACTAAGGGTAAAATACATTGACAAATGACACCTGAGGCTGAACTGACAGGATTGTGTACGGAATTTATGGTAACAAATAAGAAAAACAGCACCCCTCCCTGATAGCTGCCAGACGTCCCGTATCAGACCGTCTTTACTCTGATAGAAGAACTTGCTCTGTCCGTTCTGACGTCAGGCGAAATGGGAAATCATTCCAGCATCACTAGATAATTTGATTATGTCTCTTTTCCCATCACTTGCTTTTACAAATATAACCTCCAGATTATCACTACGTCAGTTGCGGAAAAGTAAAAGCACATACTGTACATTGGTAAAGCCGATTCTATAGAGCCAACCATCTCTAACAAAATAGATAAACTTGCTCGCCTTCTTCACAACCAATACAATAACAAGTTCTCCTGCTACACACCATTTTTGCAAAAGATGACCGTGTCCAACTGTCAGTTTTTGGTGACACTGTAAGTGGTTTGCCCACCCAAAAAATGTCTAGTTAAGTATCATATGGTTTTCCTATAACAACGTCAAATGAGCAGAAAGTGAAGACCAAAGCAGGAAAGGAAGTGAAGAGCGAAAGGAAAATTCTCTACAGAGAAGAAAATTTTAACCGTCACTGTCAGGATTAGAACCTGGGACCTATTGAATGAGGTGAACATTATAACCTAGACATCAAACAATTATAAAAGCACAAAAACAAAATGAAAACAGGTGGTAATTTAATGTTTTATTAATCTTGTGCCCCTTGCAAAAGAGACAATTATGTATACACAACTTTACACAAATGAAAGGATGACAAACCAAATGAGTGCGTGCGTGTTATACTCCCAGCAGAAAGCACAGTGTTAGGTGAATGAGAAGTAGACATCTCAGGGGTAACCTCATTGACTCATATATGGCAACCGTAAAACCCATTATCAGTAACATTGGCCACGTCAAGAAAAGGACACCGCACCAATTTTATTTAACAAAGACCACTTTCATCCCTTAGAACTGCAAGCCGTAAGTGACAAAAACCAGAAAAATAAAACTGTGAAACTATGGAAATAGAAACAAAGTATCATGGCGGATTCCAATATGTGGAGCACACACACACAAAAAATATAGGCTTCAAACACAGACAGGAATGTGCCACCATGCACAAAAACAAAAAAAAAGGTAAGACAATAGACAATTTGAGTAAAGAGAGGCACATCAACGGCCATTTAGTGAGCGGAAAAAAAAGAGCAAGAAACAGAAGCAACGGAAGGAGGGAAAAGTTGTAGAACAAAAAGTAGGTAGAAGATGGACAAGAGACAAGAGTAAAACACATAGTCATCCTCAACAAGAGTATAAACTTAGTCACAATGGCTGTAAGAATAAGAATTAAAAAGATACAAATCGACAACGAAAAGAACAGTGATTGCCACTTCTGGTATGAGTTGAAATTAAATTCCCCGCAACTAGTACTAGGTCTATAATAACAGTTACAACAAAAGAAAAACAAATATAGGTAGCAATAAGACGTGTTTCTGGTCAAATAGAATTTGATATCTTTAGATTTAAAAAAAATTACAGGATGAATTTCATAACATCAAGAGGGAAAAAAAACAAAACAAAACCATGACCATGTACATGTCTTGGTTTTTGTGCTGCCACAAGGAATGAAACTTGCAAATTTATGTACTAGTACACAGCTAGCTATTACTGTACATTGCTTTATATTATTACTAATGGAAGCAATTTCAAACTGTCAGGGAAATAAATAATCACTGATCCCATAGGTGGATGAAATTCAGTGAACAGAAAAAGATGATGAATATCAGAATAACATCAATACAATTTCAAGTGATGATGTACAAAGATCTTGATGAACACAATCTGATCTTTAAAAAGGATGGTGATGATGATGATGACAATGTTTAAATGAAGATGAAAATTATTTGCAAAATAAAGAGAAAAACTGGTGAAATTTTATCCAAGCTGGCAATTATGAAGTAGCTTGCTCCAAATCTCCAACAGGCTGATCAACTTCCTCATCATTGTAGATATTCTCCGCCTATGGGGAATGAACATAAAGTGATTAAGTTTTGGAGTTTTAAAATAATCAAGCCAATTATAAGTATGAGATGACCCCCCCCCCCCCAATTATTTAAGATGAGTAAAGCTTTTATACCCGATGAAAAACATTATAATGTATTTGATACAATTGAGGACGGCCAGGCTTTCCTTCACGAAGAGGAAAAAGCAAACATTTTTGCACAATTTGACCAAGTCCACTAAAACCAAACATATTTCCTTTTCAGCGTGGCGGATCTGATACATAAAAAAACAGCTAATCACAAGGCTACATTGGATTGTGGGATCAGATCTATTGTTTGCGCTTGGAATGCGATGGGGTCCTAGTGAACTTTGGTCAAATTTGATGTGGGGGGGGGGAAGAAAAAAAAAGAAAAAAAAAGCTGAGGCCAATGTCGTTTTGTATGCACGGGGTAAGAGTTTCAGTAAAGAGAAATTCATCTAAACAATAACCGTCAATTAGTGAAAGGAAAAAGCAAGATTGATAGACAAACAACAGTGGGAAAGAGAAGAAAGTGTAGGTTTTGCTTGAACTCCCATTCAACCAACAAAAACAAACCAAGTGTCAAACAGAATCCCACCCGACATAAACTTCTATTATCACAAACACCAATTATCTCCTAGAACATAGTAATTTGTACCATTTGGTACATCAAAATAGTATAGCCATTAAAGGGTTAACACATTTTATTTAAAAACTATCCTCACCATCTGCCAGACTTGCATGATGTTGTCCTCTGACACTGAACAGATCACCCATGGCTCGTTAGGGTTCCAAGAGAAGTCAGAGATCTTGGCAGTGTGTCCTCCGTGGATAAACTAGTAGAGATTAAACAGTACACGATAAGACTTATCTCACAACAAGACAATCATCATTAACTCATTCTGACTAATACATCTGCAGAGAAGAACATGACTAGTTCTTAAGATAATCCTTCTTTAAAATTTTAAAGGATGAGTGCCATCCACTAGAGATAGTAGAGGTCGGCTAAGACCTCATCAGCTTCAAGCCATATCTGTTCAGCTTTCGAGTTGGCACAGATACTACACTCTGCTCTTAGCCAAATGGCTGTTCTTAAGATAATCTACTGTAATACCTGTTATGAAACCAAACTACTAAGCTGTAATATTGACAGTCGTCTTTACCTAGTACAAATACATCCCGCTGTGGGTAAAGACGAAGCAGAGAAAGGATAACAAAGAGACAATGACAAGAAAATCCAGAGCTGCCAACTCACATTAAGTAAAAAGAGTACAATTGATGGTGAAAAAGAAAAAAGAAAGTTTTTTTCCAATCAGTTGCTTTGAAATTTAAACTCTACCTTCTAGTCACTAAAATAAAACGTTTAAAATTTTTTTAAAAAGGATCTAAATCAAACTTTTAAAAACGATACTGTGTAGAATAAGCTCACTGAAAACATGTAAAAGTGATGTTTGGGTTGTTAGATGGGTGTACAGCTTCCTGAATCCCTTCGAGTTTTGAGCGGCTAAATGGGTCACAAATATCAACTGCAATTTCATTGGATGAACAAGGGACACGTCAGTACTGATGCTAGACACAAAGGAATGTAGGCTAACGGTACACAGACACAAGCAGACGGGCACATACACACATTTGTCCCACTTCAGATAAGCGATAGCGATGCTCAGACACGAGACCAGCAGGAACAAGATGTTACCGAACAACACTTTTGGAGGGAGAAATTTGCAGGGCAAGCAGAAGAAGACAAAATCTAAAATCCTAATGCTACCCCGCTGACATGAAAAAGATGTACAATATATTAAAAAGTCTTATTAGCGCACAATAGTTAAAACAAATGTAAGGATATGTAATTTTCGCGTAAGGTTAGCAGCTCCGCAAGACTCTTCCACATATATGCAGTTGAAGCTGCCCTCTTTTTTTTTGTGTGTGTATGAGTGGGTCATATGAGCGCGGGACACATTAAAAAGTTTCATTGGTAGGAAATTTTGTGCCCGGGTGATGGCCGAAGCCTACTCTTATCGATCTTAGACCACTAAAGGATCTTTACAACGCGCACAATTTGCACACACGACCAAAGTGAAGACAAAAGCAGACGACAGAACATTGCTAGAGAGCAGGAAAGGAGGCAATTTTTCTGTCGCTACCAGGATTCGAACCTGGGACCTTTGAATGAGAGGCAAACACCTTAACCTCTAGGCCATGAGAGCCCCCTCTCTTGCCCTCTTGTACGAATGAATCCCCATCCTGTTTTCTTGTTTAAAAAAAAAAAAAAGACACTGTCCAAGATGACATTTTCTACTCAACAAAGAGTGGTCGTCTTGGACAAGCTTGACTGTATTATAATTATTATACGAACCATTCTCTAAAACTTTTACAAATTCCTTTTCCAGTGCTTCTAGCATTTCAAAGGCAGAACTAAGGACAAAGTCCTGGATAATTAAAGTACATATATATTTTTTATAGTAGAGGGTTTTATGGCGCTCGCAACTGCATAAGGTCATATGAGTGCCAAGGGGTGGGTGTCAACAGAGAAGTCTTTACAGGGAATCAGACTTAGACTGCTCACCTCTCTTGCTTCAACAGCGCAAGGTCTGCTTCAACTATCAAGGCACCCCGGAAACAGCAGGTCACAAGAGAGTGACAAACATACGAAAGAAGTAGAGGAAAATGACAATAGTAAAGATCAGGAAAGAAAAAGCAGCAGTTCCCTGTTGTAGATCAGGCACAGTTATGAGCGTGACATGAGTCAGCATATTTACATTTCTAGCATGCTTGAACGAGAAATGTTCCCCCTTTGGGAATGGCCTAAAGACACTACAGTCAGTGGCACTGCCCCGGGGTGTATAATTAAAGTGACTACATATAAAAAATAAAAGCTTCTCACAAAAAAGAATACAAATATAATTCTTCAAGCAGAAGTTAAATCAGGATAAAAATTTGCCGCCACATCACGGTTCAGTGTAGTAAATCAGCAAACAAAACAACACCCTAGAACTCACCAAAAGCTCAGGAGGTCCATCCTCTGCATCTTCTGGAAGCTGCTCTTCTCCAATTTTACTGAGAAAAAAACAACAAAAACAACAGAATCATTGGGATGTTGGGAGCAAGATCTAATGTGAGACATATTTACAAAGATACCATTAGAATCAGCACTATCATCCCCCTCCCCAATTAGATAAAGAATTTTTAAAATATGTGTTTATGTACCACAGTCCCAAGAGCAGAAACTGGGTGCTGGTCTTCCTCAGATTTGGTTATTTTTAATTTTATGGGCCACATAATTCACACTAAACAATAACATTAAAAAAGGCAATTTAAACACACTTCCAAAACCTATTACAGACATACCAACTTTTCAAAGTCAAAATGAGGGAAAATTTCCAGAGTACTTACGGGTACCAACCATTGCCCATGCATTTTATATAATGGCAGTTGACTTTGTTTTGGCACTAGCAAATTTTTGTGCAATTTCAGTCAGGGCAGATGTTTCTTAGAAAAGGCCCAAATTTGTCACTGGTGGCTATGGACATGTTGTTATCTACCAAACTTCACAAACAACACTTCTGATTTGATAACAGAGAGATCTATATCTATGGCAAAGTCACTTATGTTAGAGCTGGAATCACTGCCTTTACCAGCTGCCACACGTTTGTTTTAAAATATCTGGTAATATCATGTCCACCACTTGAAATGATAAACTCTGAATTACAAGGTACTCATCTTGCAAATGACTCCCCTTTCACTGATGGCTTAATGAAAGGCCACTGCTTTGTTTAGCCATCTCTAAACTTGAAGGCTGGTTTTGCTTTCTTTTTTTGCAGGCTCAGCATCAGACGACGATGCGGTAGGATCAGGAGCTGATCGCTTTTGAACGAATTTATCTATTGTCCAAGTCAAGAATACACTCAAAACAGACTGAGGCACAGCATGAAGATCTAATTCACTAATATTTGACAGTTAAGTAAGAATTAAGCTACAGAAACACAAAAATTCTAAATTTCAACAATGAAAAAGCTGAAATTTTTTAAACGAATTTATCCATTGTTCCAGTTAAGAACACATGCAACACTGTCAAAGCAGTGCATGAAGATCTAGATCTAATTCCACTTGAATTTGTTGACAGACTGGGCCATGGGCACGGTGGGCCTAGGCCCTAAGCGGAAGACTGGCTGGAAGGTAGATCAAGCAGTATTACATTTCTTTCCAGGTACCTTTCCCAGTTTTGCGCCAAAATCGTGGACCCGATCTACCACACTACGGCCAAAACAACTGGAAACGCATAGTTTACCTCAGGTGTCTGGCCAACACCCGGCCAACGTGGCAAACATGAACACCGTAAGAATGAAGCGGATGCTCGACCATTGAGTATCTTTGTACTTCGCTATTTCAGTAAAAAATTTAATCAATAATAGCTGCACCACGTTAACGACGACAGCAACCCGGGAAATATAAGTCAAAAGCACGAGGCCAGGAATGGAGCAGTGCAAATGGGAATTTCGGGAAGGTAGACAGGCTTGCTACTAACTTCTTCAACTAGTGTTCCCCCGACTATGCCCAAAGAAAGATACTGAATTTTTTAAGCCAGGGAAATAGACATGTACTCACCTGAGATCCCAGACATGCAGCCGTCTGTCTGTGCCACTGGAGGCAAGGATGGTCTCGTTATGGGGGGACCACTGGACCTATAAAAATGCAGAGTACAGACATATAGTTATTAAATTCAAGAATTCAAAAGAGATTCACAAAATGAGAACAATCAGTACTAAAACTATACAATACTTCTGACACAAAAGAACAAAGAGTATTAATTTTATTTTTATTTTAAAAGTTCAAGTAAAAGAAGAGGCAAGCCCCCAGAAACAGCCAAGAAACCCAGATTGAGAAAGTAATAATAAAATAAAAGATTTGATACAAAGATTTCCAAGGAGCATGAGTGGACACACAAACTACGTGCTTCAGTAACCCCAGTTCTAATTTCCTGAAACTTAACTAACATCAAACTTAAATGGGTGCAATTTTCAAATAGATCTGGCCAGTATTTTACCTGGAAAATCTCATCCTTGTGAGACTCAAAAGAGTGCAGTTTTAACTTGAGGTTCCTCAAATCCCACAATGCAACAGTCTGTGGACAAAAATATCAGTAAAGAAACATGAATCTCGGGGAAACTGCCACAATGCTCTTTTTTAAGTCCAAATACATAACATTTGAGGACAAAAGTTTTCAATGAACACACAAAAGCTTTGAGTAAAACAGATGTAAAAGACAGGCAAAGTTATACAGTAAATATAAGAAACATTAGCCTAGACAAAGTCGGTGTGCGAGTCAGGCACATTAAACAGTCTTCTCAAAGGCAGGATACGTTAAAAGTGAACTTTGGAGAAACAAAACAGGAAGCCACAAAACCAACGTATGTGAAAGTCTGTAATTAAGGTGACCACTGAGACATATGAAGTAGGTGTTAGAGGGAATCTAAAGGAGAAACAAAATATTTAGCCCTCACCTTATCTGCAGATCCAGTGGCAAGGATGTATTCACTGTAAGGGTTAAAAGACAAGCAGTTGACCTCTGCTGTGTGTGCGTCCACTGTGTGACTTGGTTTGTTCGTATTGTTAGACCGTGTATCCCATCTGGGGAGGACAGAACAGGAAAGCATTATAACAATTTTTCTCTGTATTGGTACCACAACGGGAGTCTACAATGTAAGTTGCATTTGAGAAGGAAGTATTAAAGAGCAGCTGGGTCATAGTGGTATTGACCGAGAGAACAAAGCTATATTCTTGGTCAGCCATCAGTAGCAAGTAATGACACTATGGAAGACAGGATAAGTTAAAGATCACTTTGTTCGATATTGGTGATAGGAAAATACACCTCAGATCACATTGAAGACAAAACCTAGACCATACTTTAGGATATCTTAACAAAAAACAAATTAAGGTCAACATTTGACGAAGGTGAAGGTGTGTTTATAGAGACAGACTACACATAAGTGACGATCACTAGCAAAAAATCCAGACTTCAAACGCCTGTTGCAATAATCTCTTTAACGATAAAACATCCACTATAAAGATATCCACTCCCACTACTGCAGTCAGCTGACAATTGCTCTCACTACTCACATCATGAGCTTCTGATCATCTGCCACGGAGCCAAACAGACTCTCATGCAACAAGTGCCAGGCAACATCCTGAGGAGGTACAAAGTCTTTCATTAGAAGAGCAACACATGACATCTCTAGAGCTACAAAACTACCAAGGGGAAAAAAGAGTTAAAAAGTTAAAAAGTAACAAATTTGGAAGGACAAACGACAAAACCAGCAAGTTATGCACACATTAAAAATCAGACACAGTATCAGTTGAGCAAAGAAGAGCCCATCAACAAAAAAGCAGTCGATCAGTGTTAAGATAAAGAAAGACTGATAGACAGAATTTTTTAAAAAATATTCAAAGTGAAGAAGTAGACCCCACCAACCACTTGCAGAAAACTTAATTTGGGAAAGTTCAGCAAGCATAAAGAAAGACAGGAAAGCTGTACCCTGGTTTTCATGGTTTTTACACTATGCCCTTACTTGATTCAAAGTTTTGAAACATATCACAGATGTACAAGGAAGCTCACCTCAACCACTGAGGTGTGGCCCGTGAAAATAGTCATGGCATCGATAACTCTCTCTGTGCGTTGAGTGGCATTCACATCCCATAAACAAATAGTCTGAAACCAAAAAATAGCAACAGTAAAAATATGCAAGCTATAGGCAGGAACTTTCATAAAGTACAGATTTCCATAAAAATGAGGAAGATTGGAAGCAAAGATCAAAGAGCGCTGACTGAGGACAAAATTTGAAGAATGCACACAGACTCATAACTGACTTCATCCTGCACAAAATACTTGTCTCTCATCATCCGATAACAAAAATCGTAATAGTTAAACTAACTTAGAATTCCCATCTTTCTTCATATTTACTGTGGTATTGATCTTTCGCGGAGGGAGCTCTTTTGCCAAGAGACACTAAATTACAACACTCTTCTAAGAGGTAAAAAAATCCCAACCAGGTTGGAGGCGGGTGGCAACCTGGGATGATACTCCAACAAGCGGAAATAGACGCAACAGGCTGTAAGGTTCACAGTCATTGCTTCTGACGAAAGTAAAACTTTTAAAATCTAATATTAAACTTACATGGAAGTAATAACCCACCCTCATATTTATCAAAACTGTACATTCCAACTTGCAATTTAGAGTAATTAGCTGACAAAATGAAACAACTTTTGCATCGATGAACTCAAAAACAAAGGATGAAAGGGCATTTGCATTTCATGGCACAAAAATTTGAACGCTTTGTTTTGTAGTGTAAGAGTGGTCACATAGTTAAATTCATTCAAATGTCAGCTAAAGTCAGTTCTGTTATAAGATTAATCAGATTGATAGATTTTTTAGTTAGAACACAATGTACTGTTCATATGTTGCTATTGTAATTGTAAAGTGCTAAGAGTCTGTATTCTTTAAACAGGGTAGAGTGCTTTAAAACTGTCATATCAATACCCTCTTTATCTAACAACAAACAAGGTTGTGACAAATGGTACAAATTCATGTAGTAGGACTTTGAAACCACTCAAATTAACATAGGTGGCTTACGTGGTCATCTGAAGCACTAAGGAGGTGACCATTCAGGTTCGGGTTCCAGGACAATCCATACCTGAAACACAACGGGTTCAGTTAATATCAGCTTAATTAACAACAGTTGAAAGGTGACTAAGACAGGATGAAAAGGGAAATGGAACACGATATTCTTTCTGAGACACAATCACAATGAGTAAGTGGATGAGACAGTGCCAGGGTAAAAAAAACCCAGAATAAGTGTCCATATTAGATTCACCAAGACCAAAAGAACCAGCATTTTACTTGGCAATAATTCAGGTCAATCAAAAACCATAAAGGCAGAATCTATTCACATACATAATGTCTTTACACAGCGAACGATTCAAGCTTAGACAGTACAATACGAAGCAACTTAAGTTATGGGAGCCCGTGGACTCGACCTACACAGGTTCAACTAATTAAGTTATCATATCCATCTAAGAAATCGTCTTTTGTTTTCACAAAGAGGATAGGGTCAAACCAACATATACAGAAAGAATGACAGAGTAAGAGAGGAAGAGGGTGACAGCGCCCAGAAATGAGGATTAATCATGTCAAGGAACATCTCACACTAGGATTAAGTTAGTCTAAATAACAAGGTTGAACTGAGGCATCAACACTCCGTGTTAATCTCTAATATGAATGACTAAACGTTTTTTAACAATTTGAGTAAAAAGAAGCACTTTGCCATAACAATGGTCATTTGGTGCTGGGAAAAAGTAAGACAGACAGAAACAACAAAGGGACAGTAAAAGAGTGGGACCTACCATTAGCGCCCCCCAACCACCTGCAGACAGACAATTGACTGAACCCTCCCCCAGGAATCAAACATGTCTTTCATACGATGATGACACACAAAATGGAACGAGGTGGAGCCCCCCCCCCCGAAAATAAACAAAAAGTTTACCCTTCCTTTTGGTGACCCTTCAACCTCAGTTCAGGAGTGCATTCTCCACTTGGATCTGAAACAAGATATTACAGTGTACAACTAAGCATACCAAGCATTGACCAACAATATACACCACACCAGTTTGAGTAATGAGACAAACACTTACACAATAACAGCCAGTGGTAGTGGAGAAACAGAGAGCAAGACTGCCATTTTTAGCACGAGATTTATATATGGCACTTGCAACACAATAAAGTCATTTAAATGCAGAAGACTGGATGTGCTACAAGAGTAACAAACACAAAAAAGATGGAGAAATCAAAGTAAATCATACCAGAGCACCCGCCAACCACCCGTAGAGAAAGACAGAGACCACCCCCGACCCCCATCCCATGTAATGTACAGCAAAAAGGAAGTGGTACCGACCATCTGCAAATACGCCATACACAGATACATGAACCAATAACAATACAAATATAATATTACAGTAAGAAATGCAGCTTCATTTTAACTCTCTAGATATTTTCCATATCGGCTCAGCTAAGAGGTGTTACAAGGATAAATAAATCTCATGTAAGCTTAACTGCCAGGCACACAGATCGCTACTACACTATTGTATTATGTATGCTCACCTGGCTTGGAAGGGTGTTTGGTGTAGTCGAAAACCAGGACATCACTAGAAGGGGTCTTCGTGGCAATGATGCATGGGTTCTGAGGCATATACCTTGCTCTGTTCACTTCTCCTTCATGGTTGATTTTGATTTCAATTTCAATTTTGCCGCTCACTGACCCAAAGCCACCAAATTCTGAAAAAAATTGTTTACTCATAACTTACAGGAGACAAAATCGAAATCTCGAACCTGAAGAGAAGCCAATACTATGATCTCAATTCTTCCAACCATTCGTATTTTTACAGAGAAAATTTATGATAAACATTTGCTGATAGTACTGCCAATATTGACTTTCCCACTGTCAATGGAGCGATGATAAATTGAATTAAATGTATAGTGGCAATAGAAAGGGGAACTTACTGTTAAAACATTGCCAGCGATAGCCGGATTTGTAGGCTAGTTGGAAGAAATCAGAAATAACATGACACTCTTGATGAAAAAGCAGGACGAATGGGATGTTGGCTTCAAACTGGCTCCCAAATGCCATTTACAACCCATCAAAAACACTAAATTTGGGGGCATCATCCCCCTGAACCTTGCAGGGGGCTTATGCAGCTGCCAGACCCCTGGCAAAGAATTTTTCTTACTTTTCTGCTTTGTCTACTGGAAGTACCATTCCTTGACAGCATAGAGAAAATCCAACATAAATAGACACTGCTTGAATCAATACCTGATATCAGATTAATTATTCTTAGATGTAGCTCCAAATTTTGTGAATGTGAACCTACAGGCTTTGAAACTGAATGATGTTAAAAAAATATATGAAAACACCAAAGCCCTAACCCTACCTGTAACCCAGCAGAAAATGCTGCTGGCATTGATGAACTAAAATTTCATGATTATGAGCTCTTCCAAATTGTCAGCAGGGTGGCATTGTGTTGGCAGCCCCAGATGACTCCGAATGCACATCACTATACGGAAGAACCAACAAAACTCTTGAACAGAACAACCACTGTACATACCCTAACCTAGAGCATATGATTTCGAAATCATGTTTGAATTTCTATAATAATCACCATACGTACGGTACCAAGTCTAAAAAAGAACCCTGCTAAGAATAAGCTCTGCACTTCACAAAATCCACAAAGACATGTCGGTGGTGAATGAGACATTTGTGTCAAAATCTAGAAATACAAACTCAATTGTTTTATTTTTGAAGCATTATTTCCTGGAAATAAGACAACTTGATAAAGAAAATTTGGTTAAAATCTTTAAAACTTATTAAATTGCAAACCAACCTACTACCCTATCATTTTTTGTTCTTAAAACTTTCAAAGATAGTTCATTGGGCAAACCTCCCCCCTCTTCACACATATTTGTAAGTTCAATATTCATGCTCAATAGTTACCCATGACCAGGGTCACAATAACAATACTTTCGCAGGCTTCATTATCATTGTTATTTGCAAATCCGGTCTTTGAAAGTTCATAACTCTTCTTGAGCACGGCAAGTCCGTGATGAGCAATGCTAGAAGACGAACGTTTTCTCACATGAAAACGGACTTTCAACACCCAGGCCCTTCAAGAAATATATTAAATACTTTTTGGTTGGCAGCTATGCTTAGTTTCATTAAGACAAACAGATGATCCCAGCCCTAGAAAGGTAGACAATTACCTCCTTTGTCACTGTCATAGTGCGAAGCGTCGAACTGAGCATTATCATTGGGAAGTTGGACGCTTGCTATCAACAAGTGGTTCTGTTCATCTGACCTAAAGGAGGAAGACAAAAACATGGCAATCTAAGGAATAAGCGGGACAAGTCACTGACCAAAGCTGCTGTGAATAGTTTTCTTGCTGGTAAGTCCAGTTTTTAACTGTACTGTATAACCAACTCACCAACACAGCGGGAATTTCACGTTTGTCTCTACTGACCTTGAAAGAAACAGATTCAAACAGATTTTCACATCAAATCAGACAAAACTCTATACTCTGAAACAATGTTTTCAGAATTAAACATCTACCAAAGGCGTAAAACAAACTACAAATAATGTTAACCAATACATTCTACATCTCTGTGATATGACAAGCTCATACGCTCGTCAACACTTCCTATTCCTTCTTTTTTTACAATGCTTGCTACATTTTCTCTTTTTTTCACACCTGCCAATCAAATTGTAAAAAGGTTAATTATTGACAGGTATGCCAGGACTCATCCCAGTTTCATTTAAAAAATTACAAACAGAAATATTTACCCCATTAAAAAGTGCCATTCTACCAGTCCAGAGGAACAAACACCACTTCTGTTGAGTTCACGATCTATCCCCATGTTTAATAACCCCAGTCTCATCTTAACTGTCTCATAGCTCTGGTTCTAAGAAGTAGTCTCTGCTTAAGACCCCGGTGTTCAGGAGCAAGGAAAATCTGGGTTCTTAACCGAGGGACCAAGAAGAGAATCTACGGTAACCCATGTAAAGGCCAATAACAGGTAAAATGGTCTACTTCAACTCCTAAAAAAAATAATTGATGAGGCCCCTGGGTGGGTTTATGACATGGCGAGCAAAGAGTGGCCAACCTTGACGACCAATCACAGTGGCATGAGGAATGCAATTTGCACTTATTATCCTATGGTGAGTCTCAAGTCCTACGATTATCCAGTTGCCCCTCCCCCCATCAGTCTAAAATTGATAGCTTTCTATCTCTGACAGAATTCCCCTGCCTTTGTTGTTACGCACCAGTACATTGTGACCATACCAATTAAAATTTAGTTATTGCAAATTCGGGAATAGAGACAATTTACTGCTGCAATGGTCAGGGATGAATTCACAGTTCCATATGATCCCACCTAATGCGAACGTGTAGGCCATACCCACCCAGAGAGTGATGTAAGTTTAGGTGAAGAGCTCAGACGCGAATGTGATTGATCAGTTCACACCTTGGTGTGATCCTGTCTGGGGCAAACATTGTTCAGTAGACCTGCATGTGAGCCTCAACCAGATTGTCTGAAAATTTTGTGCAACCCCCCCCCCCCCAAAAAAAAAGCATTTGTGGGTGTCATAAGGAAGGACATCCGAGTAGCCAGCGACCACCCCAACAAACACAATAAAGAAGAGACCTAACCCTAACCCTACCCCCAAAAAGAACCTGCAACGGGCCTCATGTAAAAAGTCCAAAACAAGTCCTAAATGAAAAAAAAATAGATCTAGATCTAATTAAAATACCACACTCCAAAGCCAAAACAAACAAGGAGCATAGATCTAGATCTATGGCTTACATCTGCATTGCTATAGGGTTTGATCTAGATCTAGATCTTGTAGAACAAGTGAATAGGAATAGGCCTTGAACTAGAAATCCGCATCCGATTCCGAACAGAGGGACTCAGCTGAGTCTAGATTCTAGATCTAGATCTAAATAAATAAATAATTCACGCACCTAATGAAATGCTTATTTTTACCAATATTAATTACAGCACAACCTATGATAGGGTTTGACACAATAGAATTGGAATATGAATCCTTCATTGAGGTCTATAATGATCTATATAAATCTAGATCTAGATCTAGATTCTATTAGAACAAGAGAGTCGGACTTGAATGAATCCACACGATCTGAACAATTGAATTAGTCAACAAACGAAATTCGGCCGCTCGAGCACGAAACTGAAAGTAGATAATTTAGGTTGTCGTCCTTTTCCGTATTCGCATTTCTACTCAGGTTCCGACAATTATGTCGGAAACGCCGACGTCGGCAGTCGGCGGTGCGCGCGTCGGCGGTCGGCACGAAAACGAAAGTGCCGACGAAGCCGACGGGGAAAAAAGGGGTCGCTGGCAGTCGGCCAGGCCTCGCACTACGCACATTGACTGATACAGGTGGGCCTAGCGATAGCATCGGCCGGTTCGCGATTGTCGGATTTCAGACGATTGTCGGCAAACATGCAGGTCTAGTTCAGTTTCATCTAGTATTACAACATTTATGTGATAACATTCAGTTAAATGATCTCAACTTGTTCCTCTTGTTTTATCAGCTGTGCCCACCTGGGTTTTTTTTTGTTCCACTAATTATGATCTGAAATGTGGGCGGGATCTAAGCCCAATGCAGACCTAAGAGTGAATCAGAGGGGGATCCTACGGGTGACTTTTGTACAGTATAAATTCTGTTGCAGGATCTTAAGCGAACCGGGATCGTAAATGGTGGGATCTCAGGCAGAGACTAATATTTGTGTATTGTAGCAAAGAGCACAATGATTTACTCTCAGGTTAATTAAATTTAGTTAAAGAAAACCTTAATCATAAAAAGGTTAGTCAACCTGATGTTGAACAAATCAAACCAAAAAATGTTATTTGATATGTATGTAGCTTAAATTGAAAATATTTAAAGCGAGACATTTTGTACGAGGAAAGAGCATATATACAGATAGTGATGATCATGTTGAGGCAGGGAAAGGCAAGAACAGTGAAAGTCACAATAGTAAACCCTAGTCACAGACAAAAAGGAAACAACAGCACCAGTCTCAGAAACACACCTGAAGACCCAGAATAGACTGAGTAATGACTGTAATTTGGACACAAGAGGGATAAAAACCAGTCAGATAAGACTTTATAAAATACAAAGTAGTGCTTCAGGGGAAAATCCTCAGCAGTAGTTTAAAACAGAAACAGTTGGAGAAGGTATTTCAATACGACACAGTACAGGTTCATCAAACAACAACCTAACCTTCAAGAAAAGAAATGTTCTCGTGAGCTACACCAGTGGTATTATTCATGAAGAAATCAAACCAGAACGTTCAAAGCAGGGCCCTGACACAAAGCTACCAACATTCATCATGAATGAGCACAAAACATCTTATTTACTCATCATGTTTGTTCTGTTTATTGAGAGAGAAAGACATCTTATTTACTCATCATGTTTGTTCTGTTTATTGAGAAAGAGAGAGAGAGAGAGAGAGAGAGAGAGAGAGAAAGAGAGAGAGAGAGAAAGAGAGTGTGTGTGTTGAACCATTAAACTCACAGACTTTATCTTATCAAACATTTTTTCTAAATATCTGAAGGTAGAAGTTAAAAACGAAATTTGGGAGAAAAAAAAAGCAACAACTATTGTTAATGATGGGAAAGCAAGCAACATTAAATATTATCCGCCATTGGCGTTGGTGAATTGGGAACAAATATCTTCCCTGACTTCAAAGGACTTACCTTTGTGGATGAATGAGTGAGGAACAGCTATAAAAAAAAAAGGTAGGGATACACCGAAAAGGTTAACAACTACTCTCAATTGTACAAACTAATAATAATAAAAACCTCAATGGCCAAAACAATCTGCAGCCTTGACAAGCCGTCAAGTGTTTAAAAATTCAACCCATATTATTAGGCATGTTTGCTAAATTACTAAAAAATTAAAAACAGCATTCGATGTGAACGCTATAACTGCACAAATTTCTATTTATTGTCTAGTCCAATGAATGGAAAAACGCACATTCCATGACAATGTTTACATTTAACTGTAACCTACACACCACTGTCTCATGGAAAACAACCATATGAATGATACGAGAAAAGGGTACTTATGTAACATCAAGACTATAAGTACTGTGTAAGACAGAATCGCAAAGGAGCCAGAAAAAAATTCCTGTCTTAGACAGGGGAATTTAGGAGGGAGATGGAGGGGGGTTTTAAAGGCCCAGCAGGTGGGATCAAAGGTCGCTTGACCGCTCGGCAAGCAGTGGTAAAAAATTCACACCCCAACTGCTATCCTCTCTGATAATGACATGTGTCAGTGTTACTTATCCAACTACCACTAGTGCTTGCATTTCATAGGACCACTGTTTGACTTATTAAAAAACAGAAACGTTTGAACATCTCCTTTGCTTCCACCCTTAGACCCACCCATCGGTGTAACAAGAACAGTCAACCAATACCACACCTCACCGAACAACGATTCAAGGAACTCTTTTCTCGGCTGGCCGTATGATCAGAGTGGCAGGCATTGGCCAAACTAATTTCACACTTCTGGCCTCAAAGGAAAGTTTCCGTGGTGGCTTGCTACTCAAGCTCTTTCACTGGCACTCGTGAGATTTCACACCCACAGAACCCTGACCATCTGTATGGTTCAGAGCTCATATAGATGGGGTAACATTTACCCCTAAATTGCACGCCTACTCCCCTTCCTAGCCCGGAAGCATGGCGTTAAGTTTAGAGCTGGCGGATCAAACTTGGGAGTTTTGTTTCAAATCAGGGCTGAGTGGGCAAAGCATTTTCCGACCTAGACAGGTAAAAGTAAAACCCCCAGAAGGTAGCGGATCTTTCTTTCCGTTTCCGCGTTGGACATGTTTCCGTTTTATTCAGGAAATTAAAGAGGAATATATCAAAGGGGGAGAGGGGAGATTCCATTAAGGCATGTTCAACAACATAGTTACCGAAACACTTATGAATGAAACTTGACAACCAATAATAAGAAAGGCCAAACTTACTACATGCAAGCATACAATGTAGACAGATTTCTAGAACCTGAAGAGAAACTGCTATATTCGTGTGATATTCTTCCGTTTTTTTAAAAACTGAAAAAAAAAAAAAAAAAAAAGCTCCCTTGTGTTCGTCACCCAGAAAGGCCAGTCTTCTCTTACCTCTCAGTAAACTTTCAGATCCCTTTGTATCATACATTTTAGGTACCAGCTTAAAATTACCACCCATATAACGATTACAGTTGACAGATGGTGGGAAAATAGTATATAAAGGAGCTCCTTTTCCTACATTGGCATTTCATCCTAGTAGTAAGAGGGACTGGTGGCATAATGAGGTTTGATTATATTAGACCACAGCCCTCTAGAAGAAGCGTTTCTGTTCTGAGCATATTTCTCTGAATCCCTTTAAAATTGCTTCAAACTTAAACCATAATCACCCTCATTAGCTAAGACTGTTCAGGACCACAAGGGTTTCCAGGCAAGGGAGGGAGACAAGTTAAAAAAAAAAATAGTAGAGGTTTTACGGTGCTCGCAAGTGCATAAGGTCATATGAGTGCCAGGGGTGGATGTCCACAGAGAAGTTTTTAAAGGGAATCTGCTCACGCGTCTAGCTTCAACAGCACAAAGTCTGTTTTGACTTTCAAGTAGGGTTGGATCGGGCTCGCAAAATTAGCGTCCGCGAGTAACGAACTACCCGCAAACGAGCGGACGGGTAACAAACCGTTCGTTTGTGAAGAGTAGTTCGCTACTCGCTACACATCAGACAGAGACAACAGTTCGTTTAGCGAGCCAGCGGACGGGCGGACCGAGAGACTCCATGTATTCGAGCGGGCGGACGGGAACGACTCCTTCCAATGTCTACAACTTGCACCCCCCCCCCCCAAAAAAAAATTATTAAAAAATCACCCTCCTGTCTCACATTGTAGCAAGGCGTTCATGGCTCATGGCGGAAATCCCCCCCCCCCCCCCCCCCCCGCGCCTTTGAGATAATTGGAACGTACACAGTGTGCCCCACGCACGAGGTGAAAGGTTACACACATAGTACTACGTCACCAGCCTCTCTCACTCCCTGTGGCACCGCTAGTGGTTTGAAACATCAGGCCTAATTAACAAACAATAGACGACGGGTCTAATCTCGCGTCGAGTATCTCGTCTGCTAGAGTTCGCCCGTTCACCCGCCCGCCCAGTGAATAAAATTGTGGAGCGGACCCAAAAAAACGAACTGACTTGAAGCTTGACTTCCGCAAAAAACTAACTGTCTTGAGGTTCGCAGTTCGCTCTCATGGCCGTCCGCTCGCCCCAACCCTACTTTCAAGGCACCCTGGAAATAGCAGGTCACAAGAGCGAGACAAACATACAAAAGAAGTAGGGGAAATGGCGATAAGATAAGGAAAGAAAAAGCTCCAGTTCCCCGTTGTAGTTCAGCCACAGCTATGAGCATTGTTGAATCAGCCCATTTACAATTCTGCTGTGCATAAGAACGAGAAATGTCCCCCCTTTGAGAATGGCCAAAAGACATTCAGTCAGTGGCACTGCCCGATAATTTACTACAGTGAAGAACTTACGTATGGGTTCCAAGAATCAGTCTGTGAAGAGAATAATCTTTTCCCTCTGGCCTGAGACGAAAACGAAAAAGAAAGATAGTATTGGTTGTAGTTCAAATCACACATTAGTCATTTGTGCACATCTCACAAAACCCATTTCCAAATCAAAGAAATATTTCAATACATTTCAAACACAGGTGGGAGTAAAATAACATGCAAAGCCCCACAGCATTTCTCGACTCATAACAAGGGTTTCTTTTTAAGCAACAGAAAATTAATAGTAATGACCAATAATCATTATCATTTATGCAACTTTCGTTGGTACACTTTAAGACTACCATGCTGGCATACAAGAAAAAAACATGTTTAGTGTACAGAGCTTCCAGCAGGTGATGTCATTTTTCGAGGATTTTCGGGTCCAGGGCAGCGCCTTGGCAGGGAGGTTGAAGGGGGATGGCGTCACCCTTATGAGTGAGATTTTTGTTTTCAGGGCACCCTAAGCATGCCATTTCTGGCTATTCAAGCCTAAATTTAAAAAGAAAATAAGTGAGAAAAAAACATACCTAGCATAGGCCTACATAATTTTCTGCTTGTGTTAATCCATATAAATCAAAAGCCATGCTTTCTTCCTTGTACTGATACTATACATCCACAACAGTAGTATAACAGCTAGATCTATAAAACTTGACAGTTAATGTTCAACCTTTTTTCTGCATGTGTTGGTTTGCACCACAATGTGTAGAATCCTTAAAATTATAAAAGTATAACAGCTAGAATCTAGATCTAGATCACTTGACAGCTTATATTCAACTGAAATCCTCAACAATATATATACAAATAAACAAGTCTGATGAAAAAATCAACCCCTCTTCAGAGTTTTCTTTTCTTGGCAGGTCCAAGATCTATTGAACCACAATCGTCATGTCTTCATCTTGTTTACAGTGCTGGTGCTCTGCTTGTTCTTTAGAAAGTGAAAGTAAAAGACACTGTCTACACTTTAAAATAAAAGAGCTCTTCCGGTATGGGTTGGCTATTGTTGACTATCAGAATCTAGTAATTACGACATTTTTTATTTCGCATTCTAGAAAATAATTCCCCCCCCTGCTAATTTGCAGAAATCCGCAAAACTGCAGACTGGAAGCACAGATTGTAAAAAAAGATTTTAAAAACTCAGTTTGCACATCATACTAGAACAAACAAAACAAAAAAATATAATTTTTTAACACTGAAACAGAAATAAAGACTCTTTCTTAAAACTAAAAATGGTTAGAAAAAGTGCTCACCTCGTTACATCTGCAAGCCACTGTGCTGTTAAACTTGGCCATTCCAAGGCATGGGTCATAACAAGGTCATATAGGAAAGGGGTGTTTTTCTTCCATATTTTGTACTCCTCATTTATTACTCTCTCCTCTGCAGCCTCATCAAAGTTTTCTGCAGACAGAAGGAAATGGACGTCACTTACATTTCACAGTGCACAATAGGGCTGGGCAAGTACCCGGGTACAAAGCTTAAAATCGGCTACCCTTTTAATTGTGACAGAGTGACGCCGTGACAACTAACGTGGCATTAATTGCGACAGAGTGAACACGGAGCTCTTTTACGATGATGATTAGAATCTAACATCATCTAGATCTCTACCATTTCCGTTAAGCTTCCCAGCATGGTGGTCCTAGTTATCTAATCTCCGCCTGACAAGGAAAGCTTTCTAGAGTAGGCACTCAAATCTTACGACAAATTTGACAAAGCTTTTGCTAAATTTAAAAATGAAAATTTTGTTTTGCCTTTAGAAAGAAATCATCTGAAACGGTAGAGAAGGTGAACTTAAAGTGTGTGGCAAAAATCCACAAATACTTTCTGTACAGTAGAGTTGACTTTATCTGTACACATTATAAATTATACACAGCCCAAATATATGAGGCAACAAATATTACAACAAACCATCAGCAGCATACAAGAGTAACAAAAACCACTAGGGGCAACAACAGTAACAACAATAACCAGAAAAGAGCCGCGACTGTCTTTGTTAGTTTGGTGTGTGTGTGTGTGTGTGTATGAGTGTATACGTGTATGTGTTGTGCGCGTGTGTGTAAGCGTATTTGTTGTGCGTGTGTGTATGCGTATTTGTTGTGCGTGTGTGTGTATGCGTATTTGTTGTGTGTGTGTGTGTGCGTATTTGTTGTGTGTGTGTGTATGCGTATTTGTTGTGTGTGTGTGTGTATGCGTATTTGTTGTGAGTGTGTGTATGCGTATTTGTTGTGTGTGTATGTGAGTTTGAATGTGTGTGTGTGTGTTTGTTTTTCTTTTTTTTTTAATAACTTCTTTCTTTTTGGCCACAGAGTCACTCTGTCGCAATCAATGCGCATTAACTGTCACAGAGTCACCCTGTCGCAATATAGCATACACCACGTTAGTTGTCACAGCGTCACTTTGACGCAATAAATGCTACCTTACTAAAATTAGCAGCAAATCAGAAAGGTGAGTTGCTCTATGTCTAGCCGCATGCATGTTTCCTTTGTATTGTCATACATGTAACTAAACTAGACTCCCAAGGTAAGGATGATTAGTAGATTTACTAGTGTAGACTAGATATTTAGATCTAGTGTGTAGATCTAAAGGTGATCATGTCAGGTTGGGGTTGGGGGAAGGGGGTGGTGGTGAAGAAACTAGAATCGAATCTAAATCTTGCCTACTTTCTACATTTGCAGATTTTGCATGGCCGTCCTGTATCTTAGATCTAGAGAATAGATTTAGGCAATTTTGTAGTTTCGTCCAAAGCTGAACACCAGAGACTGAATAGCCAGGTAATCGCTGAGGAGTGAACTAAGCGTAAGACTGGAAGGAAGCACTGAAGTAAAGCCAGAAAATCAAAATTCAAGCAAAGAATGGTGTTTATCGGCAGTTCCCACCCCCAATTATTATTCGCCAGTTTGGGCCCCAAGAATCAAGAGTGGAGGGTTTCGGGGGGCGTGTCCCCCTGACCGAATTAAAATATGGAGGGGGTGTGTGTGTGTGTATTCGAATAACATTTCATAGTATTCACACAGTAGGCCTATTTCCACACCCTGTGCGAATACAATCCCATAGTATTCACACACCCTCCGCGAATAACTCATAGCTGCCACAAAGGAATTTCAAAAAAGGAGGAAATTCACGCGAAGGCGCAAGCTCTCTCTCCGAAGTCCGAAGGCTATCGGGAAAACCTGCGATGAAGTCATCGGCGACCTATTTAGTTATAGGCAGCTAATCACGTGCTGCCTAGCGACCACGCGCCTCTTGCATGCCGGCCCTTCGCGTTTGGAATGTGCGATCTAGTTTCTAGCTCTAGTGTTTTATCAATGGAAGGGTGGTAATTTTAAGTTGGTACGTAAAATGTATTGAACGTAGAGATCTGAAATTTTACAGCAATAAAGAAGACATGTGGGGCGATCAACCTGCAGCTCCGCTTAGTTTTCGAACCGCAGAGGAAATTCGCACAAACACTGCAAAAGTCCTAAAGATTATGGACTATGGATGACGACAGACGAACTCGGCAATAAAAAAAAGGTAGCATCAATTGCCACCGAGTGACGCGGTGGCAATTGACAAAAATTGACTTTTTGTCAATTGCCACAGAGAGAAGCTGTGTCAAGTCTGAAAACAACACTATCTTAAGCATTATACATTTACGAAGTGACTATTTCTCCGAACGGTTTCCGGTCTCGTGATTTTTTGTCTATTTATTGCGAGAGTTCGGCGCTAACTTTCATTCTGCCTCTGGTCTGGGAAGGAACACCGCATGGCAAGCCCGCCTACATACAACCTTCAGTAACACCCACCACCATCATGCACATGTACACACACTAAATAAACATAATCAGTGGGCAACTTTTGAACGTATGACGAGCTGAGTTGTGGATGGAGAGACAGTGTGAGTGACAGAGCGGGTGAAAGGTAGAATTTACGGGTGTATCCACAGGCGACAGCAACTACAAGACGACGACACCGACCCCCCCCCCCCATGGTTCGCAGGGTGCAAGGGAATGAGTGAGATTTTCTTTGTGTGTGCCTGGAGGGAGGGGGTGGGGTGTGAAAGTCATGAGGACGGGGATCAGCCGCGGGAGAGAACACGGGAATTGAATGAATGAGTGAGACTGAAAGAGAGGAACGACTCATGAGCCCTGGAGTGAATAGATCCTGTGTTTCTATTTTTGTATACTTTGAACTGTTACTGAATAAAGGCTGAAATAAAGCCCGAAAAACACACACACTCCTCACTCTCCACTTACACACTTACTACCACACACAGACACACTCACATGCATAGACACACACACAAGCAAATTTTTGGGTCTATATCTATTTCAATTTTCAAGAGCTAGTCTAGATTTTTAGATGAGTGTAAAAATGTGAAAAAGAAAGGTATCACAAAAGAATTAAATCAAAATTAGTCGAACAGCCCATAAACAACCACAAAAATAAACAAATAAGGGTGTGTGACAACCTGTCTGAAGAAAATTGCCTGTTTTAACCCTCCTAAAAGTGTGTAAATTTTAACAAAAAGTACAGGATATTACATGATGTAAATTATGGAATCACACACATTAAGGGGCCTGCCAGTGTCAATACATGTAATCAGTTTTGGAGGAACGTACGCTCTAATATAAAACATTTAAATCTATATATATACATTATATATATTTAGAATCTAATGAAGGAAGGAACATCAAATTAATTGACGTTACACTATGCAACATCCCCCCCCCCCCTTTCCCCAACAAACAAAATGGTACAAAAACAACACACCAGAACAATAACAAGAAAAAAAATTACACACTAACAAAATAAAACACCACAAAGAGTCAAAGAGGGAAAATAAAAGTAACTGTAACGTATTAAACAAATCAACGTGGTGACAACAAGTGAGAAAGAGACTAAGTGAAGCTAAGTGAACTTTCTTTCAAAAGTACAGAGGTTTCGGTTTTTCTTTAAAAAATTTTTAAATTTGACTTTTATTCCCCGACCAAAAAATCGAGCCACAATTGATTGGTCGCGGCCGCGACAAACGCAGAAGCTATGTGTCGTTATCAATAACCCTCCGTAGATCTAGATCTAGACAGCACACGAGTGAACACAACACATTAAGTTTAAGAGCAGCACCAGTCATAGGCAACATGTCACATCTGTAGCGAAAAACTGTTTGGAACTGTAGCATTTCTTTATAAATATTTACTGCGGACTTTTTTAGATCGATTGAACCAAATTGTATACGAACAATCTTTGGTCGGCCTATACTCTATATAATATCCGAAATTTGCGGGAAAGGATGTGATTTCAGAGTGTTCGGAGAAATAGTGCCCAGCTTTATTTTCCCGAACGTTCAGAGAAGATTTCAGAGTGTTCGGAGAAATAGTGCCCAGCTTTATTTTCCCGAACGTTCGGAGAAGATTTCAGAGTGTTCGGAGAAATAGTGCCCAGCTTTATTTCCCAAACGTTCAGAGAAGATTTCAGAGTGTTCGGAGAAATAGTGCCCAGCTTTATTTTAGTGCCCAGCTTTATTTTCCCGAACGTTCGGAGAAGATTTCAGAGTGTTTGGAGAAATAGTGCCCAGCTTTATTTCCCCGAACGTTCGGAGAAATAATGCCGGCATATACATAATGTGTGTCTAATGGGCCAATTTGTTCTCAACTAATTTCATTGGATGAGCATCTAGTCTAGAGCTACGGTACCAACTTGGCGTGTTTTCAATGAGCGTGCCGTAGGCCTAGATCTAGGCTAGCCTTAGCCTACACTTCGGTGTAGAACCAACACATGCAATTCTAGAAGTAGAAGGCCACAAACGCACACAAACTCAAGCAGAAATTCACGTTATATCGGGGGACGGGGGTCAGAAAAACACACACACACACGGACAGAGAGGCGAACGCACAACACCGGGCACTCGAGCACAATAAGCTAGATCTAGATCTATCCACCGATGCAAAAGAGCTCCAATTTACTCGGTGGCAATTGACACTACCATAAAAAAAAAAAACAACAGACTAGGCTACCTATCAATATCAATGCTAGATCTAGAGTCTAGACTAGATCTAGAGTAAAATTACCGGTTCGGTCAAAATTAGGACGAAAACAGGCACGTCGACTTTAAAGCTTGATATCTCTTATCTGCCTTGCCCTAGAGACAAATCGAAACCAGCTACAGGAAGCCCTGTGATTGGATGACCCCAGGAATGACCTGTTTCAGCTTGTTCTCATATTTGAGGCCCTTACTGGGTGCAAAAGTGACACCCGATTTAGTTTTCTCATGGATTCGGGCAGTATTTTGACCTTCGGTCATTTTCAATTATTATCACATTTGTTTCTTTGCAAGCTTAATAACATGATTTTTAATGCTTGTTATCAAAACTTGGACACAATGATAGTTTGTCTAAAGTGGTTTTCACCAGTTATAGCTATTTTAATGAGTATGTAGACCCACTCTACTACCTACGTGCTATCTGACTCTACTACACTGGTATCTGGCTCACTCGACTACACTGGTATCTGACTCTGCAACACTGATATCCGACTGTATTACACACTGGTATCTGACTCTATTACACTGGTGTCTGACTGAATTAATATGCTGTATCTGACTCTACTATTATTTAAATTATGCACAAATTCTTTATTCTTTGTTGGCCACCTCTATTCTCACCCGGAGTGAGAATAGTGCAGGCGAGTCTTGTGGCTAATCTCACCCGGTGCGCGCTCACCAAATTTTGCGTTCACCCTAAACCACAGAATTCTACACTGTGATAACAGAAAAATTGTAGAATTCTGTGCCGTGAACAAACGTTCCATTACAATTGTAGCCTACTAAAAGCGTACAATTTTGTCTGTGGGCAGTGGAGAGAGAGAGAGAAAGAGAGAGAGGAGTAGCGCGAGAATTTCTGGGCAAAACAAAATGGCGACCCGCGTAGTTCGGCTCGATTCGAAAAGTTAAATAGCCATAGCATCTTTGTAGACAACCAAATTTATTTACTTTTGTGTTTTAACATCATTTTTTAACTTTGTTTTGGTCAATTTGATCGTCCACACCGATAGACAGTATTCAGAAAGAGACAGAGAGAGAGAGAGAAGAGGGGAGGAGTTGATCTTGCGAGAACTTCCGGGCGGGTGAGAATAGCCACTTTCTTCTTTGTTATATAACCATTGGCTTTATATTATCTTATAATGTGCCCGAAGGATGAGAAACTACGGATTTTATGTTACAATCCGGGCACCCCCCCTTTGGCCAAAAACGGCAAATTCTCTTTCATCCTTGACAGGGCCTCATATGCAAATAACTCTCCAGCCTTCAGAGTCTACCAAAATGTAGAATCTAGGTCACAGGCTCCTTCATCCACAACCAATGTTAACTCTTCCGGGGAAAGAGCTTCCCGCTGTTTTGCTCAGTTGATGAAGAAAAAGCTGTCTTAACCCTGGAAGCGCGCAGGCCCTATATAAAGGGCGTGAGCCGGGCTACCCGGGAAGCGCGCACGCCCTATATATAGGGCTGACCTACTTCGACCGGGAAGCGCGCAGGCCCTATATAAAGTAGCAATGACAATGAAAAATTAAATTTTCATCCAAATTGCTTTAAAATGGGCTTACATGAAACTAGAGTAAATTCTAAGAACTATGGTTTTTAAATTTTTAAAATCCATTGATAAATAAAAAAGTTATTGGGATTTTTGTTTGCAAAATGTTGGAGGACCTTCATATAGGAAAAAATCGCCAAAATGTGGGACATGTTTTGATGTATTTTGAGGAAAAACTGTTCATAAGTCAGTAATGAATTGGAGCATATGAATGAAACTTGGCATCTCCATGTGATTTTTAGTGCCGAATCTAGTTCTGCCATCACTTTTTCGTTGTCTTCATTACTTTGGATCTTAAAGACTGATATTTGCGTGAAATTTGTTGAATTGCGTGACATCGTTTTTACCGCGACGTGATCACCCCTTCTAAAACTCAGTAAAGCGCTATCGGGAAAACCCGCGATGTAGTCATCGGTGACCCATTTGGTTATAGGCAGCCAATCACATGCCGTCTAGCGATCACGCGCCTCTTGCATGCCGGCACCTCGCGTTTGGAATGCGCGATTAAGTTTCTAGATCTAGTGTTTTATCAATGGGTGGGTGGTAATTTTAAGTTGGTACGGAAAATCTACTAAACGCAGAGATCTGAAATTTTACAGCAATAAAGAAGACATGTGGGGCGCTTGTGTGGTCGGCGATCAACCCGCAGCTCCGCTTAGTTTTCGAACCGCAGAGGAAATTCTCACAAACACGGCAATATCTCCCGTTCTAGTAATCGTTCGGGATTGTACGCTGGCATGTCGTTAGTTTAACCTTTCCTCTGGTTGGTTGCCGAGTTTCATTTATTTTCGTCCAGGAGTTTTCCCGTAACTAAACTTAGAAGAGAGTCACTTCTGATTCCGAGCGGCCCAAAAAATACCCCTCGCGCGGAGGCCGATTTTCGGCACAAAGCGCAGCGGGCGATTGGCATTGCTATATAAAGGGCATAGACGCTGACCCTTTTCAATGGAAAATTCCAGTGTTCCTTATATGGAAAATGACGTAGTCAATTACAGGCCAAAGTTATAAATAGTGACCAATGACTTTGCAAGTTATCTTGACCTCGTAGAGCGTCTCTTGGCCGAGATATCGATCGATAAAGTGACGCGGTCCCGCTGAGCGACTACACGCTATACATGTGTTATCACTTGTTTCGCCGTGCTGATGTACTAATTGTTGAGTCTATCGCGTTCTCAGCATTGTTTGTATTTGTTTGATGGCTGATCATTTTTGAATGGCTCATTCTATCAGCTTAAAGGAAATATATGCTTTTATATGCTTTTTATCATCTGTTGAGCCGTAAATGGTCATTTTTCAGTAGCAGGTATACATTTCGGGTATCTCAGCTGTTTCCCCCCCCCCCCCCGCCAAACCCCCATGTTTACAACTGGAAAGTGGCTATTCTCACCCGCCCGGAAGTTCTCGCAAGATCTACTCCTCCCCTCTTCTCTCTCTCTCTGTCTCTTTCTGAATACTGTCTATCGGTGTGGACGATCAAATTGACCAAAACAAAGTTAAAAAATGATGTTAAAACACAAAAGTAAATTAATTTGGTTGTCTACAAAGATGCTACGGCTATTTAACTTTCGAATCGAGCCGAACTACGCGGGTCGCCATTTTGTTTTGTTCTCTCTCCTCTCACTCTCTCTCTCCACTGCCCACAGACAAAATTGTACGCTTTTAGTAGGCTACAAGTACAGTTGTAATGGAACATTTGTTCACAGCACAGAATTCTACAATTTTTCTGTTATCACAGTGTAGAATTCTGTGTTTTAGGGTGAACGCAAAATTTGTTGGCCTAGATCTAGGCTATAACGGTGAACGCGCACCGGGTGAGAATAGCCAGAAGACTCGCCTGCACTATTCTCATCCCGGGTGAGAATAGAGGTGGCCTTACAACTGATCGGCCGTGGCGGCGGGGCATTTTGGCGGGTTACTTCCGGTGAAACGCTGAGCGCTTCTAGGGTTAAGGACTATTTTTAGCAAAATATCACCGTAACTGTTGTTTCAACGAAAGTAAGGGAGGTTGCTTTTGGTTTGTGTGATAATGTGTGCCACTCTTTTGGGGCTAGATTTGAAAACAAAGTTTTAAACTAGATTCTAATCTAGATCTAGATCTAGAATATAGATCTAATCTAGATTCTAGATTAGATCTAATCTAGATCTAGATCTCTAGATCTAGAGTCTAGATCTAATCTATCTTTTTGTACTCCAGTGCCCGACAGCAAAAAACAAATGTGCTGCCCGAACCGGTACGATTACTCTAGATCTAAAATCTAGTCTAGTGCTATCATTACATATTTATCTTCGGAAGGACTTCCGTAACGAGCGACCACCCCATCAAGAATCAAACACAATAAAGAAGAGGCCTAGACCTAACCCTACCCCAAAATTGTGCTGTCTCATAGTGGTCGCTCGTTACGGAAGTCCTCCCTTATCTTCCTCCATAATAGGCCTACTCCATGCTTTCTACACTATACACCAAAGACAGATAGAATCTAGATTCTAGATAGGCTAGAGATCTACACTGCCACTGCCGCCGACACAGCGGTGCATGGCTGTTCTCGAAATCTAGGCTATGCTGGAAAAAGCTCCCCAAATAACAGCGTTTCAAAACACCTGCATACACGAAACCCTGGCTTACCGGCTTCTTTATCTGCCATCACAGTACAGCACACTGCAATACCTCTGTAAATACTATTTTCTCGGCGTTCAGCTTTCTTTTACAGTCTTCTCAAGTTGCTCGCGCCAAACTAAGAGATAGGCCTACGGCAGTAGCCCACGGTCCGCACTTAAATCCAAAATGGCGGCTGTTTTAAGTTTTTCGCAATTTTGTTCCAAACATAACTCATACTAATTGTACCGGTATTATGAATGATAAAATAAAATATTGAAGCTAAATTGTTTTTTTGTATCGTTATTTGTCTAAATATATCAATATTTGGTGTATTCTGTATGCTTAGCATGTTTCTACAACTTTATAATTACAGTCATAAAAGAAAACAGCGAGCGAAAATGGAGGGGAAAGATTGGTTCACAAATGCCGCCGTCTTTGTTCTTTGTGAAACTTTTTGCCTACGTACTTTTAATTTTACACTTTTTGTAAAATTAGGCAACTCTGTAACCTGTCGATAAAAGATAATTAAATAAAAAGTGAAATAATTATTTTAATTTTTTAAAGTCTAAAGGAGGAGTTGATTTTTTTTTTTTACGGTCACTTGTGTTTGCACCACCATTCAAAGAGACGCGCTCATTGCGCTCTACAAGCAGAACAGGCTAGATAATGTAGATTCTTATTAGGCCTACCTTTTAATTGGACAAGCCTGCTCACAGTCTTTGAAAAAGAGATTTTGAACTCAAGATGAGCTAATTGGGTTTGAAGAGAACCGTGAATGCGGAGAAAACTGGAACAAAAAAATATATAAATGGGCCTTTAAAAAAGAATTGGGGGGGGGGGGGGTAGACGTTGCACTACTGAGCAATACTTCGGAAAGAAGTAGAAACATATTCTTAGATTCAGCATTGAAATTATTTAGGGGAAATTTTGTTTATTTTTCCTAACACCTACACCACCCTCTCAAAAAAACAAACAAACCCAAAACCAAATTAATCTGATAGGCCTTGCCTCAGTAAGTGCGCTTCTGGCCTGGGCTACGAAATTCGAAAATAACCCAGACGAATAGCCCTTGGCTTTATGTTTAGTCAAAATGGAGGATTGACTGAGTTACATCCTACATAAATTTTGTATTGGGTAGCCTAACGTCAACTTTACAAGGTCTACACGTAGGATGACTTTGGTTCAAAGCTAAAAATTGTTCCTTTATATGCGTTGTCCTCAGTTGTAGTCCTGCCTTCAGTGGAGATGGAGGGGCTCAAACTCGGTGATCGAGAGCTTCAGTATTATGCCGAATTATTTCAGGCTTGTGATGTAGAAGGAAGTGGTAAAATAACAGGACCCAAGGCATCGGAACTTTTTCTTGCTTCTGGACTAAGCCCCGATATATTGAAACAGGTAGCCTATTTTCAATTTTAACATCCCACCTGTAGATGAGATACCTTTTTTTTAGCTAGTAATTGTTGTTGTTTTTTCTTTGGGTGGATCTACTTTCTTTATTATGTAAATCTAGATTCTAGATCTAGAGATCAAGAGATCTAAAATGAATGCTATTCTTCTGCTGGTATTCACTTCACAACTGGCCAGTCAACAGTGACAACAGTAGGCCTACTGGAAGTGGAGGGAAGTTTTTGTGTAAAACTTTAACTGTATTTCGGTAAATTTTTACTTTCACTCCCGCACACAGATGCACTGTTTCAGGGGTCAAACTGCTGTACTGTTTGCTGCAGATCACACATGCAAAGCCACTAAAACTAAAACTGTCGCAAATCAATTATTTTCAAGACAATTTCAAATCTAACTGTAAAATATCAAATTATGGGTGTAAAAACAGGGGGGCATGCCCCCCTGTAACCCCCCAGATTTTCTTTTACCCCAGTGGGGCTGGCCCCCCTGGAACCCCGATTGGTCCAAAGCATGTCTATCTCGGTTAAAAACAATCAAATAGGTATTTTTTTACTTTCCCTCCCGTCTCACACTCAGCTACCAGTTGTCTAATTTCTACTAAATATTGATGCGCTGAACACGAATATCAACTTCATTTCCGTCGCAAATTAATAGTTTTTGAAATATTTGATTTCACCCATGTTTTTACCCATAATTTGATATTTTACAGTTAGATTTGAAATTGTCTTGAAAATAATTGATTTGCGACAGTTTTAGTGGCTTTATGTGTGATTTGCAGCAAACATTACTGCAGTTTGACCCCTGAAACAGTGCATCTGTGTGCGGGAGTGAAAGTAAAAATTTACCATCAAATATTTCAAAAACTAGATCTATTAATTTGCGACGGAAATGAAGTTGATATTCGTGTTCAGCGCATCAATATTTAGTAGGAAATAGACAACTGGTAGCTGAGTGTGAGACGGGAGGGAAAGTAAAAAAATACCTGTATTTCTTTTAACGAAGTTGCTATATCCTATAGCCTCTAACACTCTATGCGTATGGCGGGAATAGGTAAGATTGAAGAATACCGGACCAGCGGACTGACTTTGCCTGATATCTCAACCTTAGGAATTCATGATTTTCCCCAGTTTCTCTCAATGGTGAATTTCGGATGGGTAGTTCTATTCATTACAATTTTGTCATTGGGGAGACCCCCCTGAACCCCCCCTCCTCCGCCCCAACCATTTTGTTGATTAAAGTTGGTAATACTCAGAGTACTGGATTGTGCATCACAACGTTTTAAAATAAATAATAGTATTTATTCTTGCTCTTTGCAAAAGTATAGAGTTATCTGAAAATTTTTTAAATAATGAATGAAAACTAAGTAAATCACAGTAAAATCACACCTAAACAAAATCACTAAAAATCTCAGTTTTAAATCAAATAATGATCATAATTGTATCTGACATTTAAATGCCTTTATGACTAGCTCCTTTATTGATTGGATTAATAATGAATTATACATAACTGTTGACAATAGGGCACGATAGAAAACAGTAAATATTATGACCAATTAGATAAAAGCCATTAATCATTTGAGATTCAAACAGAGTGGTTTACAGGCAGTGTAGTGATAAAATAAAAACAAATCATGGTAAATAAAAACAATTTTTGAACTTGCTTGAAAAAGAAAAAAAATGAGAAGTGGAAACAACTAATGAACTTGTAAGAAAGAAAAAAAGAATGAATAACTAAAAACTGCTATCAAGCAGTTAAACAGTGTGAGGTTGTGACTATGGTAAGTGAAAACAAGTTTCGGAATACATGTTTTAAAGTGTATATACAGTCGAACCTGTGTAAGATGGCCGCCCATTGTCAAGGAGAAAAGTGGCCGTATAAGACAGGTGGCCGTCTTAGGCAGGGCTGATCAAGATGAAGAAAACAAACTATTCCTTTCTGAGAAAAACCCATCCTTTCTGAGGTCCCAACAGAAGGTAGTTGCATTGTTGTTGTTGTTTTTTTCGCTGTTTTTTTTTTTCCTTTTGTTGCTGCTTTTGCGCCCGGGTGACAATAAAACGAAATGTGTCAGACAAGGGGGACCAAGTGCCATGGTAAAACAAACACACGGGTCGCCACCACTCGGAGAGCGAGAGACGCTTCTGTCACAAGTTCATGTTGACGTCCATTGTTACTTTGTTATAGACTGGGTATGACCACTCATCTCACTTACAATTTGTGTATACAGGGTTCTGGGCAGGGCTTATGGGATATGAGGGATCACACGCTTCCCTCCCCAGCAGCTGAAAATTAATTTTGTTACCTATTGGTCAACTGTGGGAGGGGCCTACGCAACATTGGAGGGACTGCCTAACTACAACGACAAGTTTTTAGATTGTGACAGCTCGCCCACAACGCCAGAGGCCAATGCTTGATTAATTACAAAGCGTAGTGGAGTCACTAAGGTGGCCGTCTAAGACAGGTGTTATTGCTTGGTGTGGTGATAGGGGTTGTGTGTTAAAATATGGTGGCCTCGTTGTTGGACAGGTGCCCGTTTTACACAGTTAATTTTATATGAGCCATTGCCAAAACGTGGGGAAAAACACACACATCTCACATTAGTGTGCATAAAATGTGATGCATTAGTATTTATTCCTCCAAAACGTATACACACGTCAAATATAGGATGTAGAACCTGCATTAGCAGTTTCAGACCCCTTGTCAGCTTTACAATCTTGAGTTTGTAAATTTTGTGCCAAAAATGTTCGTTTTTTTAGTGATTCCTGGAGTGTCATTTTGAGCACACCAATGCAAACTTCCAAGAATGTCCAAAATTTAGTATTTTTGGGTGTGTTTTTTTTACTTGTGCTTTGATCCTATGTTATTTGTCATTGAGAAAGGTTAACTTGCTCAAGAAATCGGTTTTTTTGTTTGCAAATAGACGAACAATTCGGATTACTTGTGCGTCTGTCGTGTCGTCACGGACTAGGTGTTTCAGAAAACACCATTATTTTTCAGTAGAATCACCGTAGCTGGTTAAATCTCTTTGCCTATCGTCGTTTATTCAATACTTCAAAAGCCGCGATGCGCGAAAGGAACATCAGGTTCCTAGATCTACGATTTCGGTCGGCTGTTTAACATTCGCCGTTATTGTCGTCAATTTGCGATGTGCCGGAAGTCCGAATTTCGCCCACTTTTGTTTTGAACGGGTCATCAAAAGTGCCCGGATATAATTGTTTTCTTGGGTGACTTCCCCTTATCCGCGTCCCCAGAACAACGGAAGCAACGGGGGAAACAGAAAAACGAAAGTCCGGTGACGCACAAGTATTTTGCGTTGAATGTGACGTAGTGGGCTGTTTTGCGTTTTTTTAGGCTACTCTGTTGAATATTTTAGTGAAATTGCGGTGTTTACACTGGATTCCTGGAACAAGAGTGTGATATGTGAACAAACTTCGAGAGATGGATCATTTCTGTAGTTATAGATTTAGCTTTTGTGCTCAGTGATGACGTTTGGGGTGTCGTCATGCAGCCGTACAAGACTGACTAACGTACAAGAAATTACATTGTCCTAAGAGCAAACATTTTTTAAGTAATGTGTGCTCTCTTTACTCAAACAAATAAACAAACATGTCCTTGTTTATCCGTCTAACTCAAAAATACACATTTGTTCTTTGTTGATATGATATACCTTTTTCCAATACATTGTGTCATTGTGTCATCATTGTTATGTACAAGTAATATTTTTCATAATTGCTAATATCAATAAGTTTTCAACATATATTTCATACATGCAAGATTCATTTAGAAGCAAAATACGCCTTTATTGATCTGTGTATCTCTTAATGCAAATTTGTTCTTTGTAGGCATGATTTTACCTTTTACAGTATGTTTTGTCATCACTGTTATGTACGAGTACTGTTTGTCATAATTAGCCACATAATTGTGATTGTCCACTGTCTTTGATATGACCTGGTATCTGTTTCAAAGCAAAAGAAACCTCTCCTTGGTTTTTTTAAATTCTTAAAGTGCGCTTTTATCTCTGGAGGCAAGACTTTTGTCTTTTCCTGTACATTGTGTCATCATTGTTATGTACAAGTCATGTTTGTCATCACTGTTATGTACAAGTCAACTCCATTGATTTTGTGCTTTTGCCTCATATTAGTTTAAAAATTGTTTTACACATGTGTTTTTCTGGTACTGAGGCTTTGATAACTGTATTTGTACAGCCTTTCACTATTGTGATGTGTTGTCAATGATAATGTCCAATGTGTATCCTTTCTTGTACATAACAATGATGACATGTTCTGTGCACTGCGTCATTGTTACAAAGCTTGCCATTCATATTACCATTATGAATGGAGTTCATAGTGTACAAAGTGTTTGTTTACTAAACAAATGGAATTTAAAGTCCATAATTTGCCTTGCTGCTTATCTGTTTTTGTCATCACTGTTACATACAAGAAATACAGTAGTTGCCAAACCAATAGACCCATATCTCCAAAACCGTACATCTCCTTGCTCTGATACTCTAGGAATATGAGCACTAAATGTCAATCTGTGACTGACAGAAAAGAGAGTCAAATTGGTAAGAAATTTTTTTTTGCACCACTGAGTCTCAAGAGAGTCTCACGTTTTGGCAATTGCTCATATATAAAAAATGCAAGGGGGAAAATGGTAAGTGTCCGTTTGTACAGGTGGCTGTCTTATAGAGGTGGCCGTCAGGGCAGGTTCGACTGTATGTTATATAAAAAAATACCCAATCAATCAGCGTGTCATATTATGACTTATGACTAGATCAGGATATTGAAAATGTTAGCACACACAATATAGAAAAAGACTGCCTTACTTTTTGTCCTAATGGGAAAAAACAAGTGATTTTAAAAGGTATCACCAGAGAAGATGATTTCAGAGAATAGTGCTGTTTTATCAGGACGTCTATTTGTTAGACACATCTCTTGCCACATCTCTCACATCGGCAGTCTATTTCTTCATCCAGAGCTTTTTTCAGACACTGCTGAGGTTTGGTTATCATTGCTGTGAGTGTGTTTGCACTAGCCATAAACAAAATGGACATAATTGTCAAGCTGAGCAGTGTCTGGCTGGTGCTTAGATGAGATTTCAGACAAGTCTGACAGGATTTCTCCATACCCCTTGCCCTCCCACGAGTGTATCTTAAAAATTAAAAAATCAATAAATCCCCCCATTCCGGAGTCCCATACTTTGCGGCGTTCAGACTTTGAATGAACTTTGATGACCCCAACAACCGGTGCTCACAGGATGCCGTGTCTTGTGATTAAGTTGTGGTAGGAACACGCAGGTTCACTGACCGGTCACGGTGGCAAACCCGACGAGATGCTTACGTATAACTTTCTTTTCTTTTTTTTTTCCACAAGTGACAGCACAGGACAAATATTGATTTATTTTCATTGTGTCACATTTTTTTAAAACAAAAAAAGCAAGGGCACGGCAAAAATTGCCGCTGTTGACCCTTTGATTGAAGGCCATAATTACGGCAAATTGCATTGGCACAAAGGCAAATTGCGGCGGTGCTGCGGTCTATTTCAAGCCCTGCTCTCGTAGGCGTAGCCTCTTAGCTATGCCTACGGCCCTTCCGTATACGGCAGAGCATTGAGGCTATGTGTTCGGCCCTCCAGTGCCTCCATTCACATAATAAGCTAGGCTTTGTAGGCGGTACATAAACTATCAAACCAGACGCTACAACTACAAGTGGACAAACTTAACTTGACTTGAGGCTTCATCAATAAACACTTTGAGCGGAAGTTGAACAGAGTAGGACAACAGTTAATAATTGTTACCTAAGCGGCACAATTTGAATTACAGTAAAACTTGAGCGCGCGTTATGACTGTACTTGGCATTCCTCAATGTTTGCGTCTTTGTCGGAGCATCTTTTATAAGTTGCAGCAATCAGTTCCTCGATTTTTTGTTTTTATCAAAATGTACAAACTTCGTTAAAAAATCTTTCAGTCGATATCTTGATCCATAAGAAACATCTCACAACCTATCCTATAAACATATGGATCTATATTTACCTTTCCCATTTGAAATTAACGATGCTTGCATCCTCTACAAAACCAATACTTGGTCTTGGGTGCTGATGTCATCCCAGTGCAAGCCATATGTATGCATCCAGCTTAAACAACTGTCGCCGCCTACTGACTCCTTAAGCAGAGCTAAGTCCAGGCCACATTCTTAGCAAAACCATGGCAGTGTAGAGAGGTCCCGTCAAATTCGTTGCAGTTGTTTCCAACCCTGGTTGTCAAAATAGTGCTTGATTAATTCTACCGTTGATCATGGGATCGAGAACACAGCATGGTATGCACTCTGCGTCGGATTCAATGTCAGTGGTTAGTGGCTGTTACTGTGTAAGGCCTTGATGAATTTTATCTTGACCACCCTCTGTAAGGTACCAATCGAGAAGCTTCTCTTTTGTTTTGGTGTCCTTTTTTAGAGAATGGCACCATGCTTATCTTTGCTCTCTTTCTTGGTAGGCCAATTGCAGTCGTTGCTGCTCCTTTGGGACGGCAGGGAGTGTGTTTTTTTTTTCCTGGCTGTTTTAGACTATCAACCAATGAGCTTCACTCACTTGAAACCTTTCCAGAAGAAAATAAACAATGGCCGACAGAGGGTAGAATCCGTAACAAAAGCACTGATCCAAGTAGTAGAGTGATTATCAAGGCCGTGAGAATACTTAATTAAATTTAAATCTATATTTTAGAGGGTCGTACGTAGGGATGATGATGATGACATAGGGAGGGCCATACGCATAGCCACGAGGCTAAGAGCCGTACGCATGGCCACAGGCTTCTTTTAATCTAAATTTTAATATAACAAGTCTAGAACCTTTTACTTTTCACTTCTCTACTTTTCTATACTACCATGAAACTTTTCTACATCAACACTTTATCATAATATATTTACCACATTGCGCTTGATCCGATAGGTTTCATTAGTGTCGTGATTTCATGAAATAATTCTTGTTAGTTTTGGCCTTTCTGGCCTTACTCGACAATGAGCCAATTTAATGCACATTGTGACACAACCCTCATATATAAGACGTTTGATGAGGATAGCTCCAGTTCACACTATATCAAATTGGTATCTGCTTTGCTGCATCATGTTTTGAAAAGATTATATATGTGTCTCTGTGAATATATGCTCTATATTAAATATTATATTATGAGGTGTGTCATCCTGTAGAATTATCATTTGGCATCTGGTAAATTTTAAAATAATCAAACTCGGTCACCTGCCGCAGGATGAGCATGAAGTTGGCGGTACAGCGGGGTTGGCAGTGTAGGGTTTCAATGTTCTCATTTTTAAAAATGAACTTATTAAATTTTATAGTAGCACTGACTGCCGTCTTGACTAGTCGCGACATCAGTGCTTTCTTGTCGTATCTCCATCTTTTTTTAGCATTGAAAATGTGACTTCTTTTTTTAAACCTTTCTCTTTGTTATGATTTGTTTTCACTGTTATTAAAAATGGAGATACAACAAGAAAGCACTGAGGCCGCGTAGTGGTTGACTGGGAGAGACTTTAAAGTCACTAAAGACAGACTGTTGCTAATCTTTCCACCTGTATTGTTTTTGTTGTTGTTTTGGATTTCGGCTGTTTTGTTTTACAAGGTTTAAAACTTAAGTATCAGGTCGATCATAATATATATGTGTCACGATGCAGTGGAATGAAGGGCTCCTCAGATTTGTAACATATAGAGTTATTGGTATCCTCTTAAAGCACATTTATTTGGTTGTCTTGCTTTTGGTGAAAAAAAATACACATTGAATAGAAGTCGAGATATTTGTGATTAAAGGAGGTGGGGGTTCAACTGGTTTCATTGATAGAATTGGCATGAAAATGGCCCTCAAAGTTTGATGACTTTCAAAGCTGAAATGCCCTTGGAAACTGCTAATTTATGTTATTTGTGCTTCTGATGAACATTTTTAATTAAAAGTCCTCACAGAAATGTATTTTAAAATGAATATAAAAAGTGTGAGCTAAAAGACAAAAATCTGAGAAGAAAAAAAAGCTCATTGAAAAAAAGCAGGTTTCTTTGATTTCATTATTTTGAAGAGTGCCTCAATTCACCACAATGACTCACATATTAGGGAAGGGTCAACCCAGGTGAGACCAAGCAGAAAGATTGTGATATTTGATTAAAAAACTTTCCCACATGCGTGACTAGAGAAAGAGAGCCTCGTTACACTACCACAGACACAGTTTTTATTCTGTTTTTCATAACTTAATGCAGTAAGTGAAACAATATTGTGTATTAAGGGAAACGGGAAGTTGTGTTTGTAAATAAAACTTAAATTGTTATCGTAGACAATGAGCTTTGCAAAAGCTCACTATTTCTTTTCACAAAAGTCAAAGGTTGAGCAGGGCCTTGAGAGATTTTATTTTGACCCATTAATTAAAGATACGAAAATGACTGACTTAATTCCGGTAAAAAGGCTTTGTAAATCTCTTGATTTCAATTAATATTCATTTATTGTTTGTTTGGAAATTGAAGTGCGAATTAGTATTTACATCATAAATTTTCTGCAGATCACAGAGCTGTGTGGAGCAAAAAGACTTGGTCATTTTGGGCGAAGCCAGTTCTACATTGCTTTGAGGCTTGTTGCAATTGGCCAGGCTGGGTTGCCACTCAAATTGGATACTCTCAATCCTGGTAAGTCTTTGCAATGTCTTAATTTACTTTTTATTGTAAAATTGTTCCCTTTTTTTAAACGTCTCTCATTGAATTTACAAAGCTTAAAAGTAGCCTCACCCAGCTTTTGCTATTGTTGTCCTCATCCTTTGTATTGACGAATTTATGTAAATCTCAATACAGAAGATCTTAAGACAGGCTTTTCTGTTTATAGCTGGCAAATGTGCTGTTTCTAAAAGTTGAATATGTGGGTAAAACAAAATTGTGCATCACATGTCTTTTAGATCTCACTGTTTGTCTCTCTCTCTCTCTCTCTCTTCTATCTCTCTCTCTCTCACTCACACACACAAACACTCACTCCCCTTCTTTCTCTCACTCTGTATTTGTCCATCCCTCTCTTTCTAGCTCCCATATGGAGGGGTAACAAAATGAATTTTTAATGTATGTATGTTAAACTTTCTCTCACTCTTTCTCTTTTGTATTTGGTCTTCAGTTCCCCTTCCCCCTCTCTCTTCTCTATGTACCAGTTTGCTGTGAATATGACAGCAACATCCCTTTGGTGGTCCAGTTTGTGGCTTTTGCGCTGTCAGTTCTTTTATGGCTCCCTCTTTCTTCCCTCTCTCCCCCCTCAAACAAAAAGACAACAACAAAACCAAAACCAACCTCTCAACCTTAAAGCAAGACCAGTGGAAACTTTTCAAATTTTATACCACCACCTCCCACCGACCCACAAGTTGTATGGAGAAGGAAATACAGAGATAAATTGATTTGCACCTCCTCTTTGAAAATTCATGTTCGAGATCAGTGTAATGGTTAAGATAAGGTCAAATATTTGTTTTGTTGCTGGTTTTACACCTATTTCAGCACAGAAAGCTCTTTTTTGAAGAGTTCGAGCTTCTGATTTATTATCTATCTGGGGTACAATTGATCAACTGTGCAGAGAGCGTTGTAATCTTCCTACGTGACCCATATTTGAGACCCTTGTTGTTTAGGGGGAATGAATCCAAAATCTTCTGCATGATAGGACATCATAAAACTAACTTTTATTTTACTAATAAGCTAGCAGCAAGCAAAGCGTTCAAATCAAAAGATTGAGTCAGAGGCTATATTCTACATTGTAGTGGATTGCACATTCATTTGCCAACATACTAGAATGGCACACACAGCAGCTGTGTTCATGTTCGTGATCATCAATAAAGTTTGAAGTATCTGTGCATAGTCCAATCACATCAATTTCTGAACCGGTAGTTTTATCGCAGGTGATGTGATGAATGTAGGTTGTTGTTGGTGTTTACTTATGCTTGAGAGAAAGCAGCTGCCTTGGGAAGGCACTGATTATCAAAAACCACACGTTTTATTCGTCTCTGCTTCTGGAGTTTTTTTTTTTTCCAAACCAAAGCTGCATGTGCAACTTCATGTAAATGGTTACCCCACTTTTGGGGGTATTGGAGGTGGGGGGGGGGGGGGGGGTTATAAACAAAAAGAAGGATCCTTTACAAACCTCTGAAGGGGATGTTCAATATGTTTGATGGTGGAGCTGCACACAGGAAGGTCAATAGTACATGTACAGATGTGATTTTTTTCTGTCTTCTTTCTCCACTTTTCTCTGTTTGGCTAGTGTTCCAACACTATAATGACTGGTTTTACATGTCTCTTAGGCCTGTAAAGCTGTACAACAACGTAAGCAATGAAGGGCTTTTTAAAATATATTTTGAAAGACATTAAATATTTCTTCAGTGCATCATTATACTATATTCATGTGCAAAGCAATTACTCAACAAAATGTGCGACTGTCAGAAACTTCATAGCATGTGTGTCATTTGCACTTATTGCTGTACTGGGATGAGGAGTTATTACTGCAGAACAGTATTTTTTAGTTTAAATTTATATTGTGGCTGTGAATGTGGCAGTAACATTCATGTTTTGGTCCAGTTTGTGGCTCGTGTGCTGCCAGTTTTCTCAGGGCTCCTTCTTTCAAGTACACCACCCCCTCAATACTCTAACACCCTTTGAACAAGACGAGTGTCACCATAAACCTTTTCAAATGTAAACCCCCTATATCCCCCCCCCCCCCCAATAGTTTGAAATAGTTTGTACTGGCATATTTTGTGTAATATTGTAATATTTGATCTGTGACGTTGCAAGTTGAAGATTAGTTTCGATACTCGCTTGGGGAAGGCTATTTTATCAAGTATCTCGCCCTTTCTGCTGGGATGCTGTATCCCTCAATGCCTGAGTCGGCCGTGGTAGGTAGAGTCGAGGCGTTTCATTCACTAAATTATCTTAATTGTGTGGAAGGAGGCGTAAACATTTTCCGTCATCAGACGTCAGTCCACCGAAATAACTGCGAAACCCGAGACGAGAGGCCGGCACAATGCCCACTGTGATGTCTGGCGCGTGCTGTCTGTAGTGAAGGGGAAAAACCCGTTGGCCCCGCCCCCTCATTTCTCCCTTCGTTTCCTTTGTGTTGATAATTCCGAGTTGCTGCCCTTTAGCGGCTTTCGGCAGTGCACTGGTGTGTACATAATGTGATTAACAAGGTCAGCGTCGGCAATGAAAAGGGTTATTGAGTGTTGGTCAGCAGAGGGGTGGACACTGGTGATGGGTTTCGTACCGCGCGGACGCGAGGGGCGTTGTGAGTAAGTGAATGAGTGTGTGTGTGTGTGTGTGTGTGTGTGTGT